ACCTGTTTCACTGTTTCCTCCAAACAGAGCCAGAGCCCAGCACCTAAAACACACACATACAAATTCCTTTGCACTAATTTAACATTTACTGCCAGGTTTACAATCAGTGCATTTCCTCACAACTCACTTCTTCCTGAGCAGCGAGAGGATGCTGCCGGTGCCTTCGTGTCCAATCAGCCAGGAGATGTAATGAAGAGGCTTCACTCTGCCAACAATAACAGACTTCAGAAGAGTATTCTGTGAAGGCCAAAGCTTGACTCGTCTGTACATCGAGGCTGACTCACCTGTAGTGTTTCCCCTGCGGTGGTACGGCCCAGCTGATGGTCAGAGCATGCACCTTCCTTACAGGAATGACTGCAATACACATTTATTTTCACGCGTGCATCGTTGATCGTTAGATTTAATCAATTATTGACATTATTGATGCAATGTAGAAAATACTAAAAATATCCTAGCACTACTATTAGCACTACTATCTGACCTTTGTAGAGTTTGTTGAAGGCTGGCGTGTCAAACGGCTGCAGCAGGTGAGAGAAGTCCACTCGAGGTTCACCGCTAAACCCCCCCCCCCAAAAAAAGATGTCACAAACCAAACCCGTTTCATTCAGTCTTTGTGTTACTGTCATTATTGATCATGTCATCTTTTATTGTGATTCATGTATTGATGTGGAGAATATCTCTTACTTGTTGGGAACTTTGATGAAGATCTCTTTTACCCACTGCTCCAGAGTGTCCAGCGTCTCTGATCAGACACACAACTTGAGCTCATTTTGTTGAACGCCAGCAGCCCAAATCAACCGGCCCCGAGCACTGCGGCCCGATGGGCCAGCTGAGGGCTTTCAGTCTTTTAATACTCAAACAATTTGCTAAATCAGTAAACAAGTGAAGAAGAGTTTGCGGAAGTACCTTTGGACTGAACAGTGAGCGTCATGTAATGAGCCGAGTAATATCTCTTCCAGAAGTGTCTGAGCCGCTGGTAGGTGTTGATCTGCTTCTCTTTAGGGTCGTGCTTTAATGTCTGAGCGTTACCTGACAGGGACAAATGTTCGGTAGTGAGTTGATATTTGATGTCTTTCAAATACTTGTATTCAAGAACATTTAACCGAGCTTTTTTCATTATTGAAATAGCAGAAGAAGTCGTGGCGATTCGGTGGAAAAGGCACAAGGATTGAGTGCTGTTCCTACCCCAGCAAAATTTGCCCATAGGGTGTCCCGCTTTAGCCAAACTGCCAAACAGCATCTCCTTACGATGCGAGTCCGACGGCCGCGCCAACTGGTACTCTGAACAGGGAATAAGAAAAGAGAAAGAAAGAAGAAAGACAATGTTAAGAGCGGGAAAAAAAAAGTCAGCTGGTTGGTTCGGACCTGGTTTCAGAAATCGGGGAGAAAAATTTTGGGGCAGTTTCAAGATGTTGAGAGTATCTGATTGACTATTTGTAATTTGTATCACTCACCGCTGTCCACAGCCTCCACCTCTCGATCAATGGCATCTTCTATCATCAGAGGACAGATGAAGAACTGAGCCCACCTGGAACATAAACATAATGGGGAGAGAGAGAGACTCTGGGATTGTGCTCTTTTTTTCACAGATTATGACATTTCACGTTCAATTAAAAAATTAACAAAGGGATTACTAGTTGAGTCAAATAATAATCAGCTGCAGCCCGACATGGTAAATGTTGTTTTTACAACATTTACCATGTCTCTACTGCAAATGCCGTAAATGATTCCCCGCTGCAGGACTAATAAAGGATTATCTTATGTTATTGAAAACATTCAGCCGTGTTTGCAAAGAAACAGGTTACAAATGTTGTCCCGCAGAAGCAACATTTTGGCTGCTTATGCAGAAATCTTTGATTCAATCTGAGGAATTCACCTGCAGAACAAACTGCAGGGGTCTCCTCACCTGACGTATTCGCATTTACCAAGTGGCGCTCCTAAAACAACACGGCCTATGCGTCACCATTAATCCCCTTCTGGGCCTGCTGGATCTATGCCACAGCTTTTGAACTATTGTGATGCATTTTTGCCTTGTATGATCAAACATCAACGTTTGTGGTCATCGGCGTCAAATCCAGCCTCACCGGTCGAGCGCTTCTCTGAAATACTTCTTCTGCACGTCGAACTGAAAAATGGTTCTTTCGCAATCGGTGGAGGCGTTGTCGCTGCCACCGTGCTTCTTCAGGAAGGCGTCGAAGCCATTCTCTGCTGGGTATTTCTCACTGCCCATAAACACCACTGGACATCAGCGGAGCAACGGAAAAGTCAAAAAAGAAATCAGAAAAAGATTAATAGCCAGAAAGACATAACATAAATGTATCTGGTAAGATCTTCTGCATTCAAATTCAAACAAAAACCATAAACTGAAATGGGAAGTAAGAAGCTGTCAATCCAAATCAAGCATTGGAAGATGGACTCACTGTGCTCCAGGAAGTGGGCGAGGCCGGGCAGGTCCTCAGGGTCACTGAAGCTCCCCACGCTGATGCACAGAGCAGCTGCTGCCTGGAAACACATTTAAACTTTCATATAGAGGCATCAGTAGTAAACTGACTGACATACATACATACATGTGTGTTAATTACATTCATAAGACGAAAACTAAGCCTTATCACGCCAACACACCTGATGCATTACTTTTGATTGTGTATCTTTACTGTATCCACCTGTTTCTCAGAGTTCCCTTTCTTCTTCTTCTCTGCGATATCCTCGTCCAGCTCATCAAAGTCGCTGTCCTGCTCTTCCTCTTTGTTCTCCTCCTCTTCCTCCTCCGAGCCCTCACCAGAATCCCCTTCTTCCTCTCTTTCCTCCTCTCCATCCTCATCCTGCCTCCCAAGGTTCTCCCCTTGGTCCTCTCCGTTCTCACTGCCTCCCTTCCCGTCCGTCCTGCTGAAGTCGGAGATGAGGAGCGCTCGCAGGCCGTTACTCAGCTCAATGTATCTGCAGAGAGCGGGACAGTAACGTTCAAACACCGTAGCCCACTTTGTCTTCTAGATCAGGACTTTCACACTTGTAGTTCAGTTACTACATATTTTATTACATTAATTCACACTTTAGCACACAAGTCTTTCAAACATGCTAATATTCACTGATTAAAGCGCTACTAACACGCATAAAGATTTTAGGAAACAAAACATTTATTTTTAAATGCTTTAGGAACCAAAATCATTAAAAATAATCTGCATTTGAGAATACATTATTTTCAGACAAATCAAATTGTTTACCGTCATTTCTTTAAAATCTATTTGATACTTATTTCTTCACAGGGCTTATACAAAGGTAATAAAATGGTCTGTGAAAATGAGACATCAGTTAACAGTTTATGTCAGTTCATCCACACTTTGCTTTGTACTCCATAAAAGTAAAAGCAGTGGTTGTCTTTTTTATTTTGGGTAATAGAAATTGGTACAGTTGTATTTTGCTACGCACTGTGAACAAGGTCCAGACTTGTTTAGATGCAAAAGGTTGTGCATTACCATGAGAGTTGTACAACACGGTAGTGGAAAGCAGTGCTCTGTTAGAGCGGTCATATTTTACCCCTAAAAAATATAAATCTATAATCTATCTATAATAAGAATGTCTGACATTTAAACCAGACCCTTTTCACTCTCCCACCTGTACTTCTTTGGGTCACTGGGTGATCTTACGATCTCTGCGTCTCCCTGTTCTTCCACATCGACTCCTCCATCTGCGTCTCCATCAGCGCCGTGGTTCCTGGCGTCCTGTGGCGGCGGCTCACCCTGGTCTGGAGCAGATGCTTGACCTTGAGCACCGCCGCTGCTCACTGACTTGTTGGTCTGAGGCATTATGACAGCGACCCTGTGGATTGACAGCACTGAACATGCAGGGGAACACAAAAATATTATCAGAATTTTGTAGGTCAAATTTTTGCAATAACATTTGACATTTTCTGGAACCCCAACTGTGAACCAGGCCTCATCACCAAACATTATCGTTGAAGATCACCATCGCTTGTGGCAGATAGGAGAAACACCTCTTTAGCGACCAACGAGATGTTACATTATAAATTAGTTGCCAGCGATTTTCGATGATAGGAAAGGATAGGGAAACCACCAAAAATGGTCTTGTTAATAGGGATTCCTTAAATGTGAGCATGTGTATATCATAGTAACATGGATATACGCTACATGATTAATACAATTCATGGAATTGATTGAACAAAAAAAAAAAAAAATAAGAAGCTAACAAGCTAACGGCTTCAGCTAACTTTAAAAATGACGTCAGCTACAATGCTGCCGCTTTAGAGAACGGACGTAACGTTAACTGACGTTACGTCCGACCGTTGCTAATTAGCAAACGAACAGCTTTTGCTAATCCCGTTGTTGTGAATGACACAACGGCGACTGTTAAACAGATAACTGACGTCGGTTCAGCCCCACCGGTGCTAAAACACGAACCGTGTAGTGGAGCCATTGACGTTAGCTAGACAACGAACATCCCACCTGGTGAGAACACGACGCCGCAGTCTGCGGTGCTCGGCAGTGCGCTGGGGAGACACTCACCTCGGTCTCTGTTGGCTGAAGGCGGCCGGAAGGCTTTGGCTTCGGCTCCGTGGGTGCAGTTTGAGCGGTGGTTTCAGGGCGGACGGCTGGCTGCGGGGGAGGGAGCCGGTAGCCAAAACAAAGCCTGCCATTCGTCGCGAGCGGATCCATCGCAGAGAAAGACAAGCAATCTGATTGGTCGACTCCGTGACGACAGAGGTCAGTAGAGTCGTTTTTATGAAGAGAAAGTTAAGTTAAAAAAGGGAGAAAAGGCTGTATAACGCATCCATGATACATTAGTAAATGACCCATCAATGGACTTCACCACAATTATGCATAAAACCTTGTGGATGTTGGGTGGAGGTCTGTGCAATATTATGGCAGTTTTTATTTGTTAACTTTTTAAAACATTATTCAAGTTTTTACTTTATTAATAAGTACTAGTAGCAAAACTCAACACAATGCAAGAACACGTAAACAATAGCCACACAGAAGCAAATGTTGTCATTTAAAGATTGGGATTTTTATTATACTAAATTGCATCTATAATATACAAACATTCACAATATATTGTACAATCACTTTGTGCTACTCCCTCGTAGAGGAGTGAACTGTAAGACAACAAGTTTACACTCGCCAAATAATTTGTCCATGGTATACACAGCATAAAAAATAAATGTATACTTAACACCATCATCATTTCTAAATCTATCATTTACATATTCACTTAAAAAATAATCATATGAAGACAATGTCAATATTATTGTATGTTTATTTGAATCAATATGAAGACACATGTGGAGTTACACACAGAACCGTGCGCTGTGGTAGCTATATCATCATTTGGCAGGATGTATATATATTTTTTCTATCTTCAATATGTAATATCTAATGCACAATTTTTTTCTTCTTGTCTTTCGTAAACACATATGCTCTGTGTCCCGGCTGACCTGACATTATCAAAATATTCCGTCAAAGATACTGTACACAATCACAAAGAAACGTTACAACTCAACACGCAATAAATATCATGATAACCATATGCAACACAGGTAGGGCGCTAAAATCACACACGCACACATACACACACTCATGTAGGAAACACTGCAAACATGACTGTTACGTTGACTACACTTGCTTAATGGGAAGGAGAGAACCATGTGCTCTGCTCACATGTGTGCGTCACTATAAAACACCCTCAGTACGACGCTGGATTTTGTCGCCCCGTACAAAAGCTGTAAGCCACCATGAAGCAGGGCTGCAGCTCTTATTTGGGGTCCGGGATCGAGTCTCTGGCAGTCTGGAGATGGGGATGGTGGTCATTGAGAGTCTCTTTGTGGTCATTGTGTGTCTCTGCGCTCATTGTAAGTCACTGCAGTTGTTCTGACAGTTTGTGTGGTCGGTTAGCATCTCTCTGCAGTTGTTTTTGTGTGAAGATGTTGAATTCCATTTTTGGGGGGAGAGGGAGGGCTAACAGTCATATCCGGCCCCAGCTGACCTCTTGGGCCGCGAGTCGCCTTCCCTGTTTGCAATACCCAATCAACTACGATAATAACAATATATCATTTTTCTTACTACATACTTTACAATGACACCCAATAACAACCCTACTGATCTAAATGAAGCCTGTTAGAACACACAACTTTATGCTGTGAAAAACACAAAGGAGCAGCCTGTTTTTGGACCCGACCTGCTCCTCCAATGATTGTGGCTGCAGCCCTGCCTGGGAGTTGTGCATTGTGGGTGTAGCCCTAAAGCGTCTTTCAAGCGACAAATAGCACTAGGCGAGGCCAGTAACAGCTAGTTAGACTATAGGCATATTGTATTAGAGGGAACTCACTGTTACAAGCTATCTGAGAAGCAGCCTCATCTGATGGGGTTTTTTTTCGGCAGGTGACTTGCGAGAGGTAAACTGAGCGTGAGCCGCTTTGGTGTGAGTTTCTCATCGTGTGCACCTTGAGCGGAGGGGCAGTGCTGTGATCACCTGCCATCTCCAACCAGAAGTGCACTCTCAACAAAATCTACTTTGCTGTCCTCCTATGGTTTGTGCATCTAATTTTCCAGATTTGCAAACGGTCTTGAAACTTGAGTCCGGTAACAACATTTCATCAATAACAACAGCTTATATCAATGGAATCAACGCAATCAGTGGATTGGCTCCCAAAGGTCAAGGTAATTCATAAAACTTACAGGTTTTCACCATACACCCGAACATTTTTATTAAGCTATTGGTGCTTAATAGATGTGTGTCATCTCAACCCTTCAAATATAGCCTAGCCATCCTCTGTCATCCTACAGCCTGTTCCACAATAGATCCATTGTTGGCTGGGACAATGATACAAATACCTCTAAAATACAATCATAGAACGTATTACCCTGTTAGCAACCACGCTAGCAACCACGCTAACAAGCATGCCAACCAGCGACCAACGATTGCTGCAAATATTCGCCATCCTCTAACACAGGACACAACATGCCGTTTCATTTTCCACTCTCATAACCTCCTATAGCTCCTCTATACCACGTGGTCAAACAAACCAAATTACATTTTGTTCAGAGTCCACTTCCCACTACTCTCCTCCAGCTATGAAAGGACCAACCTCAGATACTTGGGCACAGGCGGTAGGGGATTGGAACTTGCTATATAAATTGCGGTAGGATTACGGCCCGCTTACAAACAGGGACTTAGGCAGAGAGAGGGTGAGGGTAATGTCGCAATTTTTTTTTAACGTTTTAATTTTTTCTCAAGAGCTGCGGGGGGGGGGGGGGGTGACAGCGGGAGGATGAACGGAGAGACGGACGGACAATCAGCAGCACTTCTGAGGCAACTGGGCGGGCTTGTCGGTCAGTCTGGTGGTCTTGGCGCCGGAGGCCGCAGGCACCTCCACGTCAACGCGCTCCGACATCTTCACACAGATGATGTCCACCAGGCGCTCGAAGACCTGCCGGACGTTGATATTCTCCTTGGCGCTCGCCTCGAAATACTCAAAGCCTGTGAGAGGAAACGAAGGGGGCAAATAGGGCAGAGTGAATACATGCAGACTCGTTCATGAGAAGGTAGTCGTGACAAAGCGTGTTTTCTTGGTGTGCACGTAGGTAGGTCGGTATTACTGCCAACTGGGAATAGTATTGTTACAACAGTTAATAGCCAAATAGACAAAGATGAAAATAATTTTACCGCAAAAAATGCTAAATCCTGTTTAGTGGTAGAGTGGTAAACATTGGTTACCATATGTTTGAAGGTGACACTGAAGCAGCACAGTTGCATTCTGGAAAGTTGTCTTCGTGCTTTTGGGCCATATATTTTTTACGATAAAATGAAATCACTCCATCTGTAGTTGCTTACGAAATTGTTTTTTTACAAGCAGACGCACATTACAAAAGGCATTTGTTGTCCTGGTCTGAAACATCTTCCTGAACGATGTGAAACACTTTGCAGTTGCAAACTCTTCGGCCGGCAGCAATGACATTGAATAAAAGTTTGTATAAGTAACCAAAATAGCTCCCAGCAGTGGAGCTAAAACCAGTATTATAACACCTTTTTGGCCCCCTGGCAATACACTTATTATTTTAGGTATTCCTCACTACACACACACCCCGGGGAAGACATCTCTTTCACTGGCTTGAACAAGTCCAGCTCGTTCTCACAATACAGATGAACAATAGCCAAACCAAATGAGAGTTGAAACATTATTTGTTAATGTTTCAACTCTCATTGAAAGTTGAGACTAAAGTTAAATCATCCCCACTAAAAGTATGCTGAATTGGCTATTAGCAGTCCTTGCTTAGGAGTGTCTGAAATATTTTGCTTGAAAATATAACCAAAAAAGCATAAACTGTACCTTTGTGTTGCTAAGTAACTTATCATGAGCTAAAAACTCCCACCTCCGACATCTAAGCAATCTTACCCTAGAAACGTTGTGTTTCTATGCAGAGTAATACTTTAAAGAAGAACTGAGAGTGGGGAAAATAGATAGATAGATAGATAGATAGATAGATAGATAGATAGATAGATAGATACTTTATTGATCCCTCAAGAGGGAAATTTTGGTATCACAGCAGCATGTACAGGGAAGAAAATAGAATAAAAAGGTACACGTTATACACAAATACAATAAGATAGAAATATTAAATTATTAAATTAATTAGTATTAAAATACTTCATTAACCTCTCTCTTCCTTATCAGACTCCTGTTATATCAAAGTATTTAGTAACACCTAATTAGCAACATCTCACCTAACTGGTCGGCGAGGTGTTTTCCTTTCTCCGGAGGTACGATTCTCTCCTCGTCCATGTCGCACTTGTTGCCTACCATGATTACCTGGGCGTTGTCCCATGAGTACGTCTTAATCTGAGTTGCCCTGAAAGCACATTTTAAACCTTTATTTTTAGTATCAAACATATAGAAGCAGCATAAACACACACTGAGCTTCCAGGGTAGTGTCGCACCAGTCCTGGACGGCGTTGAAGGACTCCTCATTGGTGATGTCATACATGAGGATAAAGCCCATGGCACCACGGTAGTAGGCCGTGGTGATGGTGCGGTAGCGCTCCTGTCCTGCCGTGTCCTGAAAAACCAAAAACAAACACACATTTTACTTTAAAAAACCATTTGCCACAAGCTCCCAAAGTGTCCCTTGCAGACCAGAATAGATAGACAAAGAACAATTACATTTCTTTGTGTCGGGCAAAGAGTGATGAGCGCGATAGTTCGCGGCAAAAAGGCCTGACCTTTAGAACTTGATGAATTTCTTGTGTATACATGGACATATTGTTGCAAATGTACAGCAACAAAAAATAGTTCTCCTCATTCCTTGAATGGGAATAATGCTTCTCCGGGCGCCGGGGGTCACCTATGGCACGTTTGCAAGGCCGCTTTTAAATGATTGTACTGCAGACTACTTTTATCGTCGTCACGGATGTCAAGAAGGTGTTATAGCATCTTACCATCCCAGATGCATCAATTATGCTACTTCTCTAGAAGTTACGCTGCAGTTGCAACAACAAAAAAGAAGCTCAAGCAATTTCCACACGTGAGGTCAAACACACTGAGCTGCTGTAGCGGGTTGTCAGATTCCTGATCAACTGAAGGATCTGTGTGTCCCACAGAGGCCGAGTTGTTGAAGCTGCGGTGTGCAGCAGTTGCTCTTATAGTCCATCACAACCTCCTTCTGTGCTGGAGTTGTGCAACCTTCGATCTGTGTCCGTGATCTGATTCTGAACCAGCCAATCTCAGACCACATGCCAACATACTAGGTATATGGGTATTATTTGCTATATTGTGGCTTTCAAAACCACTGCTGTTTGATTTTGGCAAATAGGATTTTAGGGAGACACAAGCTATGTCTTCATCATTTGGACCAAAATGTGCTATAAAACAGCTAGTGTAGCTGCGCCACAAACACCTTAAACATGAGTTTAACAGGCTGGTAAAAAAGAAATAAATTCTAAATACAAATTAAACACATACACGCTCTTGTTCCCACCTGAATAACACAGAGCAAGAGATGACGTTTTCACACTGACGCATTCAGAAGCGCCGTCTGCATTTACCACCTCCCTCCCATCACTTCGTAGCCCTTTCATGAGCCGACTCTACATCTCACTGACTGTCTTCATCTACTACTTTGAAAGAACTTCCAGTCAACGTCTGCAGTCAGCAGTCTTCATTTCCTCGTTGGTATATGGTGGTGCGTACATCATCAATATGTCCATACCTGCAGATGTTAACTGATGGTACGGCTGTAGCTGTTCTTATCTGTGGTAAATGAGCAATGCAAAGGGCTGTGTTGCTGTGTTGGGTTGCTTTGGGTGGCTCTGGGTACCAGTGAGATTGTGAAAAACAATGCCTGAATCCCGTTGAGTGACATAACTGCGAATTTAAGGGGTTTATAATGTTGTGAGACTTTTACGATAAAGATTTCCTTTTTTGTGGCGATGAAAGCCAGGTGGATAACTAGCAGGTATTTTACAAAGAGACCAGGATTGTGACCTTGCATGCATTTGATTGGCCAATGCAAAGCTTTGAAGAATTCCACCTTCGATTGTTAACAGTAAAATTTAAGTGAACAAAAGTATGAAGCTTTTATAAGATTAGGAGTGGGAACGTTTATTTTGACGTATCTTTTTTTGTCCTGTATTGATGTTTCAATCCATCTTCCAGCAAATTGCTCTTGCAAGGACATTAAAGCTAATTAATTGATTGTGTACAAATTCTTGGGCAATAAAGCTGATTCCAATTGAATGCATTTTACAATTCCTGATTCAAGCAGAAAGGCTGAACTGTATCATCATCTAGTGCAGTGGTCCCCAACCTTTTTGACCAATATTTCGCGGGCCGGTCAAGAAAGTCCGGCAGAATAACGGGAGGGTAGTAGTCGTTGCGCTCTCTGTTCGCTGATGGACGAAACTGCCTGCACTGTAAGAGGACCATTGTAAACATGAAGAAAAACGCTTGGTGACGCTTGAGAAATATCTCAAGAGGGACGAGCGCACATAATTGGGAGAGAATCTGGTCAATTTTCAAAATATATATTTTTTTTCAGAAAAACAAAAATATATTCTTTCTGTGGTGCGGCCCGGTACTAAATGGCCCACGGACGGGTACCGGTCCGCGGGCCGGTGGTTGGGGACCACTGATCTAGTGTGATGGAGTAGACCTCCGTCGGAGCCTCAGCCTGGCTGCTCAGGCCTTTCCCAATGTTAGGTGATTGGAGCAACTGGAGCTAGAACGACACCGTACAGCTACTGGCGGTAGCTCTACGGTTTCACAGCCAGCCCGAGCAACTGCAACGAGAAGGCACGAGAAGTGCATGCATGATGTAAAGTGTCCCATCATCTCACCTGGCTTCAGTTTCTGCAGAGTATTTTCTAGAACTGACAGTGGATTATTACCACACCCACCAACTGTCTCTATTGATCAGAGACAATGCAATACTTAATGTGAGAGAACATAAAAATGGGAGTGCGCAGCACCCCAACAACAGCATAACGCTTCCAGTAAATCGGTTTTCAACACTGGGTACAAAGATCATAATACTATATTACATCTACAGATAATAAAAAACTTGATTAATTTAGCAGAAGAACAGTTTGAACTTCTCACAGGAATTTGGCATTGTCAATGATGACTTGATGAATAAAAAAAAAGGTTTTTGTTTAAAAAACATCATGTTTACCCGTACCTGTTCAAATCTCTTCCCGCAGATACTACAGGCCTCGGGCTAGATCTGCTCTCTATCGTAACCTTTCCTCTCTCACCTATCCCACCCGCTCCACACATGTCCAGCATCTCGTCACAGGGGGCCTCTGGAACTGCCAGGCATGCTCGCTAGGAAGACTTCATCTCCGGCTTCGCTATCCAGCAGTCACTTGACTTGCTCGCTCTCACCGCGACCCGGATCACACCTGAGAACACATCCATCCCAGAAGATCTCTCCTCCGCCTTTTCCTTCAGCCACACACCCAGACCCACTGGTAGGGGTGGTGGCACAGGTCTACTCATTTCATCCAAATGGAGCTTTTCGCTCTACCCTCTTCCACCGTCCACCCCACTGTCTTTCGAATTCCATGCTGTAACAGTTACTCACCCGGTACAATTGAATATTATTGACCAGGCTCTTTGGGTCATTTCATTGGAAGAACTGGACATTCTCCTGTCCAATGTCCCTGAAAATGTCCCTCCGCTCATCCTCCTGGGTGACTTCAACATCCAGACAGCGAAGTCATCTGACCTCCTACGAGGTACCCCAGTCCCTCTCCCTCCTACTCACAAAGCCGGCAATCACCTTGACTACATCTTCACTAGAAACTGCTCTACAACTAACCTCTCTGTAACTCCACTTCATGTATCTGACCACTCTTCATCTCTTACTCTCTATAACTAACCACCCCATCAACTGACTCTGTACCTGTTCGTCTCAATATTCGCTCCCCCTCTCCCTCCTCCCTGGCATCCTCTGTTCTATCAGCTCTCCCTTCTACTGACTCCTTCTCACTCTTGCATCCAAACGCTGCTGCTGAGACTCCTCCCAACTCTTTCCTCCTCTCTAGACTCTCTCTGCCCTCTTACGACCCAACGGACTGGCAAATCCCCTCGGGCTCTGTGGCTGTCTCAACCGGTGCGTGCCATGAGAGCCACCATGCGTAAATATAAACAACCTGCTGACCTGCTTGTGTTTCAATCTCTTCTCTCCTCTTTTTCTGCTTCTATCTCTGCTGCCAAAAGCTCTTTCTACCAATCCAGAATTGAATCTTCATTTTCTAACCCCAAAAAACTCTTTTCTATCTTCTTCGACCTCCTCGAACCCCCTAGTCCTCCTCCACCATTCTTCTGGGTGACTTTGTCAACTACTTTACCAAGAAAATAGCTGACATACGCTCCTCTTTCTCAAACCCACCTCCTACTTCTTGTGTCCCACTGACTTCACCTCACTTTCCTCTTTCATTCCCCTCTCTCCTAACCAAAATCTTACCCAAGTAACCTCTGCCCGTCCGACCACCTGCCCTCTTGACCCCATTCCATCACATCTTCTACAATCTATTGCTCCTGACCTTCTTCTTTCCTCAACTATCTCATCAACAATGCTCTGTTATCTGGCTGTTTTCCCAATTCTCTGAAGGAGCCACGAGTCAACCCTCTCCTGAAGAAACCTACCCTCAACCCTTCTGAAGAAAACAACTACAGACCGGTCTCTCTTCTTCCCTTTTTGTCCAAAACTCTTGAAGGTGCGATCTTTAACCAACTCTCCTCATATCTCCACTGTAACAACCTCCATGACCCCCACCAGTCAGGCTTCAAGGCCATTCCACAGAGACTGCTCTCCTTGCTATCTTAGAGCAACTCCACACTGCTAGAGCCACCTCTCTCTCCTCTGTCCTCATCCTTCTGGACCTCTCTGCTGCATTTGACACAGTCAACCACCAGATCCTTATTTCCTCCCTTCAGGAACTTGGTGTCTCAGGCTCTGCTCTCTCCCTTCTCTCGTCGTACCTCGATGGCCGCACCTACCGGGTAACCTGGCGAGGATCTGTGTCGCAACCTTGTCCTCTTAAAACTGGAGTTCCTCAGGGTTCCGTCCTGGGTCCCCTCCTCTTTCGCTCTACACCAACTCTCTCGGCGCTGTCATTCGCTCCCATGGCTTCGCCTACCACAGCTATGCCGATGACACTGTTAGGGTTCGGAAAGCTCTCGAGGGAGGCCTCACTCCTTTGTTCTCGTCCCGGCCGGAAACGAGGACACGAATGAGTCAATTTGTTTAAATTCAAAAATCCAAAAGTATTTAATAACTAAACAACGTTATAAGGAATGCAATTACAAAGTGAAATACTAAGCGAACAGTAAAATATTTCGCGAAATAGAGAATCCTCTGAGCAAGTCTAAAGCGACTTATCAAAGCGGCTGCAGGAGAATTCTTCCAGTCTTTTCCCCGCTTTGGTCCTTTGAAAACTCTTGAGGTGTGTCTTCCTTGGTGCATTTGAATGTCATTGGCTTCTTCTTCAAAGGGTCACCTCCTGGACTGTCCCCTTCACGTCGAGGTGTGAAGCTGCAGCTGTAACCTGAAACCTCTCTGTCCTATCTGTCCCTCACACTTCCAATGCATTCAATGTAGATACAGTTGGCTTCATGCCTCAATGAGTGAATTTAACAAAGCATACATCGTTTAAGTCTTCATCTTTTAACTAGTACACCTTCATTACAACAACCCATCATTAATGATCACCGTCCATCACACTTCATCATAAGATCTAAGACAGTTCATGTGGTTCAATTTTCAAGACATTTGCCTCAGTCGGCTGCCTTACATTAAGTTGTTCATTTATTACCTGACAGGAGAAAAAACTCCCAAAAAACCCTCTTTGGGGATAAAATTGGGAGATATCCATAAAGGCAGGCAATTGGCATCCGTCCCCAGGTTTTAACATCACATTGTGACAGAATGTTAATGTGTACAGTGTTTATACAATTTAAATGGCTATGAATTGTGTTTGATTGAAATTGCATTCACTTCATCTAATATGTTAATGTAATACCTAATATCTAACATCACACAAACTATAATTCTAACACTAAACATTATTACACGTACTATAATTTCCTGACTAGGGGTGCACTTCTGGCTTAAATCCCTAACAACACCCAACTAATTCTCTCCTTCCCTCCCTCGGACACCGAGGTGGCGGAGCGGATCTCTGCCTGTCTGACTGACATCTCTCAGTGGATGTCCGCTCACCATCTGAAAATCAACCCCGACAAGACTGAACTACTTTCTCTTCCAGGAAAAGATTCTCCGACCCAGGACCTGACGGTCAACTTTGGCAACTCCGTGCTAACGCCCACTTTAACCGCTAGGAACCTCGGCGTCACACTTGACAGCCAACTCTCCCTGACTCCCAACATCACTGCGACAACACGATCCTGTAGATACACGCTCTACAACATCAGGAGAATACGTCCCCTTCTCACTCAGAAGGCAGCGCAGGTACTGATTCAGGCTCTAGTCATCTCCCGCCTGGACTACTGCAACTCCCTCCTGGCAGGTCTCCCTCGCTACCGCCATTCGACCTCTGCAGCTCATCCGTAATGCAGCAGCTCGACTGGTCTTCAACCTTCCCGAAATTCTCCCACACTACTCCACTCCTCCGCTCTCTTCACTGGCTACCGGTGGCCGCCCGCATCCAGTTCAAAACATTGGTGCTCACGTACCAGGCTGTGAATGGATCGGGTCCAGCTTACATCCAGGACATGGTGAAACCCTACATCCCGACCCGAACTCTCCGCGCCGATCTGCAAAACTGCTTGTCCCTCCCTCACTGAGAGCAAAACACTCGACTAGATCACCACTCTTTGCTGTCCTTGCTCCGAAATGGTGGAACGAGCTCTCTGAAGACATCAGGACCCCAGAGATCTATCACATCTTCCGCCGCAAACTAAAGACACACCTCTTCAGACTCTACCTCGACTAAAGACTAACAAATTGTAGGACTTAAATTGTACTTATAACGCCACTCATCTACAGCAAATTGTAAATTAGCATATTTGAGGAAATTGCACTTTCCTGTTTCTTGCTCCTCTGAGTTTGTATCCCTATGGTTGAATGCACTTATTGTAAGTCACTTTGGATAAAAGCACCAGCTAAATGTCATGTAATTTAATGTAATGAAAAGCAGAAAATCTGGTTGTTTGAGATGTAACCAATGATAAATTAAAACCATCAGGGCTACATGGCTTTGGCTTTTGTGCAGCCACTCCGTTACGAAGACCGTCTTGGCCTTTAGAGTGTGACAATCTCAAAGGAACCAAACATGTTCATCCCCTCTAAAGAATCTGCACCGCCTAATCATCTGCTGATCACTGCTCTACTGAAACAAGTCAGCTGATCAATGAGTCAGCTCAATGTGACTTTCACATCTGTGCAAAACAACAGCATCCCCCACCATCTCGTCCTCCGACCACAACAGCTGTTTTCTGCTAAATTTAGCTTTTGTGATATACTTCCTATGCGGTTGTTCAAGCATCTCTGGTTTTCTCTTTCCTTCGCTTTGTGTGGGATATGCCGACTGCTTATTTGCATTGAATGAATTCAAATATGATGCAGAGCATGATTGTGTGTGTGTGTGTGTGTGTGTGTGTGTGTGTGTGCGTGTGGCAACATGAATCATAGGAATATTGATAAGCAGAGCCTAAGGGAAGTTACTTATTCCTCTCAGTTTAGTCCAAAGCTGAGAGAAATGTGTGTTTATGGTCCTCAGAGGAAGTAGCACTGCAACACCACGTGCATTAATGTGCTGCTCTAACAACGTCTTCTGGTTTCAGTCTTTCCAGCAGACGTTAAACTTGCTTGGAGGGCTTTTCTCCCATTTCAGTATTATTAAGGTCCAACACTGATGATGGGTGATCAGGTTTGTTGCAGGGTCAATGCTCCGGCTCCAGTTAACAGTTAAAGACTAGTCGACTCCACTCACACCAAACTGGAAAAAACACCAACCTGGGAGAGAAGCTCAGACCCCAGATCCACTCTGGCTTTGCATTGTGTTGCTTTGCTTGCTGTGTGTGTGTTGGGGCTATTTTCAGCTTTCAGTCTGAATTAATTGGCTCTGATTAGCTCCAATCATGGCTCTTTCCCTCCACCTCCCAAACACACACACACACACACACACACACATACGAACCCCCCTTCCTCCACACTCCTGTGTCCCCTGCCAGGTCTCAACCTCTTCACCCCAAGAGGTCTCTTTAATTGCCAGTGAAGACATCAATGTTAGTCTGTGCGCACATGTATGTATGTCTGTGTGTGTGTGTGGGGGGGGGTTGTGTGTGTGTATGGGTGTTTGTGTGTGTGCGTGTGTGTGTGTGTGTGTGTGTGCGTGCTTGTGTGAATCAGTGAGAGTGAGTGAGCATGAAGAGCTGCTGCCATGGCAACAACATCACACCGATAATACAAGCTGGAGAGAGCGAGAAGTCTTTGTATCTGTTCCTTTTTTTTTTAAATTCTCCTCCCAGCAGCTTGTTGAACACCAACCCCCCCCCCCCCCCCCTCCCACCCGTCACTCAGTATGTACAGTTTAACATATAATGATGTTACAATCGACTGCATCATATGTTACGTGCAGTGTATTGTGTGATGACATGTTACATGTATGTTATATCTATCTATGCTCTAAATCGACAGACAGATATATGATTGAATTAAATATTATAATATGATCTATCCACCCTCACCCAGATCTGCAGTTTGATCCTCTTGTCGTTGCGATACACCGTCTTCACTTTGAAGTCGATGCCCACGGTGCTGACGAAAGAGTTGCTGAAGGAGTCGTCGGCGTAGCGGAACAGGAAGGAGGTTTTCCCCACGCTGCTGTTGCCGATGATCAGGAGCTTGAACATGTAGTCAAAGTTCTGGTCGGAGCCGTCCCGCTGGCCGAAACGCTGGTCTGCCTTTGCCATCTGGAGGTTTGAGGAGTTTGAAGGGATGAAACACAATCGGCATCATGAAATTCAGACATATCTCTTAGGAACCTAAAATATACAGGACCAGTTAATGGTTTATTTGTATTTCTCGAATGAGGCCTGCTACGGAGCTCTGTGTCCCTCTGGGCAGCCGAGCGCCTCGTATTTGCTACCCTGGTTAGGCTGCTGTTGGTCTTGCTTAATCCAAATGCAGGAAACAGCGGCAGTCTAGTATTTATATATTACATTTGTTTTTGTTTGACTCATGAACCTATAAGTTTCACTGAAATCCCCCATCAAGTCTGAAACCAAACCCCTGTAATGTAAACACCTCTCGTTGTCAAGTATCACAGAGGACAACAATGACCTACTTTAACGACAATGATGTTTCATACGGGAACCCGGACAACCACAAAAACCTGTGCTTTAAATCCACTTTGGGCTTGTAATGACACTGATGTCGAAGGCAGTTAACCGTTGAACACGAATCTTCCATAGTAGAAAAACAACCGACCACGAGCTGTAAAGAAACCCAATGAATGAGCCGAAAAACTGCACAAAAGCAGCTCCTCCTTGTTCAATGGAACGCAGACATTTCTGACAACAAAGTACTAGTAATCAGCCTGAATTCATTTGATGGAAGATAAGTGACTTTCTGCAGCAGTCAACAGTCATTTTGGAGATTATTTTTGCCCGTTTCTTCAATCACATCTTCTCTAGCAGTTGTCACTCTGGTGCTTTCACTTTCTATCCAATGGACACCGAATAATTCTATTTTCATATATTTATTTTAAGGTTATAAAACAGTTTTAATGTAGGAAATTATCCTCGAGGTGATTCATGATTTCTAATATGATTTATTCTTAATATTTGCCAGCGGTGCCTCTGTGCGAAATGTCCCACAGCTGCACTGCAGGTGGGCCTCTGGCAGCTAGCGGCCCACCACAGACGGACCCAGATATGGTTTTGCTGTCCTATTTATTTACCTTGACGTCTTTTTCTGCATTGACTCGTTTCACTTTTAATACGTAGAGTGCATTTTCCTGGCGGTTCTTCAAATGTTTCACTTAATGGTGCATATCTATTTCCGTTTCGACATGGCCACGGCTCGCAGCTAACGGTGCTAAAAGCTTTGGGCGGTGTGGGGGGGGCGGAGCCATTCACTTGCAGGATGGGGCTATGACAGCTGTATGAGCAGTGTGTGCACAGCGGCAACCATTAGCTGGCAACTCTCACATTCACTACCAACATGGCTCGGCTATGTAAAGAAAGCACAGAGGAGCTAAAACAAGGGCACACATGATGCAGAAGTCCTTCTATTTTTACATATAAAGGAACTGAATACCTGCGCCCTCGCTGCACATCATTGGCTTTCAATATTACTATCGGTCCACCACTCTTGAGGTACTTTATTACAAGGATGCAAATTCTGACAAAAAGGCAAAGCCTTCAGCTTTCAAAGTGTAAAACATTAATCCATTTGTTTGCACGGTCTAACAAGTGCAATGCATTTTCTTGCTTCTCCGCCTGCCAACATATCTAGTAAAATGTCCCGAGTTTCACTTGCTTTGCCAAAAATGTAACACACTCTGAACAGCTCAATGTTTGAGAAACTCACATGCTTCCATTGTGTAAACAGTATTCAAAGAGATTGTGCCGATGGTATTCATCAACAGGCAACTGTATTCAAGCTGCTGACAATCCACTTCTCATATAATAATTCAACTTAAGTCTAAAATACCTCAACAGTTGCATTGGCCTTGATTTTTGTGAAGAATCAGGTCAAGATGTGTATGTGTTCGTGCACAGAACAGCAATACTGATGAGAATGTTCCATGTAACTGTGAAAGCAGTATACATCATATGGTAGAGTAAAGGACCACAGGGCCACTGTACATTCCAGTATAAAACCTACTTCAGCAGCTGAAGACATCACCACAAGGCCAGCAGATGCTAAACTCGCTTCAGAAGGACATTCTACACCTGTACGATTATCATGGAATGTCATAGAAACATAGTGTTTTGTTGTGTATCAATAGTCTACAGTGTGATCGATATTTGGCACCTATGATAAGCGTTATTATAAGATATTCGATTATTTACACCACTAAATGAAACAAACCCCGTAATTTACAAGAACATTAGCGAACAAGGAAATAATGGATCTCCGCTGATCGTCGTCCATGGATCCGTCTCAGTCATCAGGCCTGTGCGTGTGTGTTTAAACTGATTGTCTCTTACCTCTGCAGGGCGGATCTGATGCTCTCTCTCTCTGCTCTGCACCTGACGGAGGCAGCTCGCTCCCCCCAAAATACCACAATAATGACGATAAAACCAACAGACGTATCCTAATCAGCAGCAACGGGAGCGCGTCCGATCTGACCCGACGAGCGCGTTTGCAGGGGATCAGGAGCACAGGCTGCGTCGTGCGCAATCAACAGTGGATTCTCTTTTTTTCTTGCAGAAAAGAGGCGATTGCCTGGAAAACGTCTCCTTTGAGCGCTGCGAGCTTTTACGCGCGGCTCGACGCTGACATCCTGCGTTAGTTCGAGGTGGAGCGAAGCGATGCAGGAGTGTTCGCAAAGGCGTCTGCTGGCAGTCACCTCCTCCTCCTATAAATAACCGGCGTCTATGTGAATGAAATGTGCTTCTTTTTTGCTCTCTTCGGGCCGTTCACAGGCAACTCCTCCGCCCTATCACACGGCAGATTGGAGCAGACGCGCAAACGGCGGGAGCGGCGGTCATTTGCGTCCTATGACTCATAACTGAGGCTGTGAGGCGTGTAATTGCTTCGGCATTCATAAACAGAGATATCGGACTGGAATAAGGTTTCTTCCCTCACTGTAACAAATTGCTGTAAATTTACGGTGCATTTCTAACGGTATCTTACAGTATGTCATAATAACTGTAACATACAGTTAAATTTCCATCCCTTGCTTCTAAATTAACGGCGTATGTCATGAATAAACAGTTAAAGCTGTCAATTTACGATAACAGCAGACTACCGTCATTCAACTGCATGTTACATATATTTTATGAAGTGGTGGAAATACACATACAAGTGCAGTGAATCACAATCCATCGACATCTGTTGTGGGTTAATGTATGGAAGCCCACGTCAGCCACTGAAAAACAGGTCCTGTAAGTCATCATAATGAGATAGTGTCTCATGATTCATCAGGTTAGGTGTCTTGCTCAGGGACACTTCGACTTGGCACAGGGAGCAGCCAGGATTCGGACCGCCAACCTTGCGCTGCACAGCACACCCTCCCTATCCCACGCGCCGCCTTCATTGTCATTTTAGTGGTGGGACTGTAAAGATTATAAATGTTTGTATTATTCAAAGTGTTCATTGCCTAAAAGTCATTTGAGTGTCAATCGTGACCGAATTAATTTTGGTTTGTTTTACAGAGGTCTCTGGATTAAGGACGCCAGCCGTTTGCTGCGGTGAATTGAAAGTGTTCCACAGCGTATTGTTGCAGTTAGTTTACCTTGTTCCTAATCATTTTATGATTCATTTTTTTATTATTTTATACATGCGGCATATTTTATGTTTTCTTTGTTACAAAGGCCTAACATTTTTGTCTTAAAGGCATCTAAAAAACTCCAACCATATGACCAAAATGAGTTTGGTTGTCGTTCTTTAATTTGTGGGGAATTAAATACAAAAGTATACGGTTATAAGTAAACGGTAACATTCTGGTATTTATAACACAAGAACAGTAATCCTATGTTAACAAACCGTAATGTTAACCTCTTCATAGTTCTCTACTAATCTAAAGGTTGAAGTCGCTATTAATTGCTGACTATTTTTACGGTTTCCACATAAAAACAGCGTCCTAAATATATAGACTTGCTGCTTTCCCGCTTCTGAGGTTTGAAATGCATATTGCGATGATGTCACAGGCCTTTATGTGATTTGTGACAGTTTTCTCAGTATTTAAGAAGAAATTCAAACAACTACTTGATAAATGGGAAAAAGAAATATGAGATGAATCCTTGATAGAAAACAATCAAAAACAAGCTTCATTCAGGCCTGAATGATCTCGCCACATCTCTGACTGTTCCTTTCAATGTTGTATTCACACCCAAATGCATTAGTTAACTAGTCACACTTTTTGACAAAGTTGACAAAATGACATTCTTGAAAATGCTGATGACCTTTGATCTTATTAATAATCACATGAGAGAAAGACAAACCCTAGTTACCATGGGAATAACGTTACTAGTCAGGTAAAGCCACACAGCTGCTGTTCTAGTTAGTCATTCACATAAAAGCATTTAGATATTATAACAACGAAGAAATCACTGCACTTTACCATTCACTAACTACGCTTTATTTTCGAGTCTGTCGACCCCAGAAAATAGGTAATAATAGGTAATAATAAGTTTTGTCAAAACTTCCTCTGCACCGTTCTGAATCATTGTGTTCATGTTATTGCTTTTCATCAACAAGCCCTTGTGTTGTCATGCAGGCAATATAAGGGTTGAACGTTTGCCGGAGAAATGTTACAGAAAAACAGACGATTGTTAAGGATCAAACAGGCATTTTGAGAAATAGTAGCAGACCGAGTCAACAATGGTAAAACAAAGTACCATTTATCAATCACACAGCATTACACCATCAGTGCATAAATACATAGTGGTAAACAGGCATAGAATCAGTTGAGTCCAAGCATAATATTTCTCACAAGGAGCTGTCAGATTTCACTAATAACAGAATAATATAACATAATGTCTCATACATGCAATAGTATTATTAACGGAATGGATGATTTGTAAACCTAACAATAATCACCAGAAAATAATACAGTCATAATAACAAGCACATGCTAACTTTATATTTGTAATTTTCAATTGAATTCATTTTATTTTGTATTGCCCAAAATCGCAAATTACAAATTTGCCTCAGAGGGCTTTACAGTCTGTACACATACGACATCCTCTGTCCCGAAACCCACCATCAGCACAGGAAAAACTCCCCAAAAAATGAAAAAAACACTCTCACTTCATAGCAGCGTGTGTAGGAGACGGTGCATGAGCACGCGTGGTCACACATGCATGTTTTTAATAAAGAACCACCCAAGAGTTCAGCATTCCTGCAATTGGGATTTGTTGTCAGTCAGTGTGAGAAAGTGCAAAAGTGCTGACCTTATATATCCATGGTCTCAAGCCACGTTCTGTTTCCATGGATATTACTGACACACGTGCCTGTAGCCTGAATATATATATATATATATATATATATATATATATATATATATATATATATATATATATAGAGAGAGGATTCCAGCTCTTTCTTCATAAAGCTTATCATATTCCAATGCCTCAAAACTGCCATAAATGAACAGAAAAGTAGAAATTGTATCTACTGCTGAAAGCAGTCAACATTTGCACACAATATATTCATCTAACTCGCACAGCACGAGGGTAAAATCCTCTTGTAATCATCTTTATTTAAGTGTGATGGCAGCATGAGGGAGGCACATTCGTAGTGTGACAATCTGATGCCCTTCATCAGTTGTTTGTAGAGGCTACTTTTTCTGTTTGAGGATGTTTTTAATGTGTATTATGGTATTTAGTATGATATATATTATGAAGCACCAGTTTATAGTCATGAATGGCGTTTTATTGAATTCTGCCAAAAATAATGACATTACATGTCATTTAGCTGACGCTTTTATCCCTACGTTGCATTATTAACACATGGCTTTTTACATTTTTGCCCAGGGAGCAATTAGGGGTTAGGTGTCTTGCTCAGGGACACATCAACATGGGGCAGCCAGGACTTAAACCACCAACCTTGTGGTTCCCTGCACCCCTGCGCCACGACAACCCCTAAACTTTGCATATTTGAAATTGACTCGTATTTCAACTCAATCCTATTTTGATTTATTTTTATATTTTTGTAATTACTTAATGTACCAGTCCTTATTTCCATTTCCCTCTTCACCTTCACCTTTATTTCTTCATGCAGCTGCTACAGAAAGAAGGGCGAGTCCACGGACGACTCGGACAGAGACGTGTTCTTCCACCAGATGGAGCCAAACAGTTATTGGACATGGCAGCTTTAAAGAAAATACGTACTGATGGATACTCCCAATAACTACACACACACATTCACACATGCATACACACATGGTGCTCACAAACACGCCAACGCTGCTCCTTGAGAAAACAGTAAGGTTTTGAGATTAGCTGTAAATGTGCATACAGTTCTAAAAGCATCTTTACATCAAACAGCCACTGACTGAAGACGCTCTGATGGGGTAAATAGTGAGGGGCTGAATCACACGGTGCTGTAAAACCCAATGAGAGGACTTTGAAGTGAATTCTCTGTTGAATAGGAAGACGACGAATACATCAAATATAAATACGCTTGTTACACAACTGGCGACACAAACAGACGTGTCCTGGATGAAAGTCCCGCCCATCCCCTCCCCGAGTATTCTACTTCTCTCTTCGTGCCTCGGTTCTTCACTGAGCAGTTGAATTGTTCTCTGCCACATCCAATAGGACCTGGGTTGGACATTTGCTCGACGGGCTCCGGCAGACACCCGGCGAGTGCACCTATTAAAGCAAACACGTGTGTCGCGCCAGCTCGCCCGACTCAATGAATTATTCAGGCGCTGTGCCACTGCGTTTAGACAAGGCAGGGCCATGAGGCTGGGCAAGCAGAACCAATATCAACCGCTCCTCCGCCTTCTTCCTGTAGTGGACGCTGGTATTTCTAAACAATCAAAGGCCATCTCCTTTTTTGATCTGGTGAGCTTTCGGCATGGCCCACTATTAAAACAGGGGAGGACAAGTTCAGTTACCGCGGGGTTCATGCCAGTGACATCATCCTTTAACATCAGTTGTGACTCACCCTCATTTACCAACCCGTCTCGATAATCTCTATGTCTGGTTTCTGCACGGGTTTGACTGTGGATACGCAGGATATTAGTTCTCTAATCGGATATGCAATCTTCATGCTGATGAATTAAATAAAGCAATCGCATCAGATAGAAGTGGAGGAGACGGAGGGCCCTAGAGAGATGCTTCACGTCAAGCAAGTGTGTCCGAGAGGGAAGGAGGGAGGGAGGGAGAGAGAGAGACAATAGGAACGGTGGGACTGTGCAAAGAGGAAGGTCACAAAACACAATTGCATTGTGTTTCACTCAGGCTGAAACCTGAGCGGCCAAAGTATCCTTCTACCAGAGAGAGAGTTCCTGTTCACTACCCTTTATTGCTGCTAATTCTGCCGTACCATCGCAATAGAAAGAACGAGATCTGTCAGATATCTGATGTAATACGTGTGGAAGGACTTGAGTATAAACATTGCATTTCAGAATAAAGGCACTGTTGTAATATTTCACTGTGCTGAATTGTTTGTCTCGTATGTATCTGGACCTCTTCAACCACCAACCCATCGCTGTCCTGCATAATGTGGGTTAGGTCGCATGTGCAAGGACAAGTTGACATAATCATTACTGCGATCAGCTCAATGGCTGCCTAAGAGCTTTGCTACAGAAACAGCTGCAGGCGTTGCTTTTCATCGCTTTTCATTTTCTGACCAAAAAAGGGTTCCCATTACATGTTGATATGATTTTTTTATACTAATCCTTTTAATTAAGCTGATATGTACATTTCACATTGACTGTTTTCTTTGAGAATGTAACACAACATTAGATATTCAGATATTCTACATTATAGGCCACGGATTCAAATGTCACAGTAAAAGCACAGTTTCAAATAAGGATAGTAAAGATGTCTGAATTCCGTTAAGCTTGGTATTGTGCACGCTAGGACACTTGAACAGACCCTAGCCGCTGTACTATTCCTTCTATGACCTACCTGCTGAAAACCAAAAAAGTTCTACACATTGTATTTCACTTTTAGTATTAGCTGCTGTCAACGGAGGCTGTCACACGGCTGACTGCAGCGTATCCGCCTCTTCGACGCTCACATCTCACGAGAAGGTGCTGGATAGTCTGGTCTACACCTCCGAGCGCAGGTCAAGTCCTCGCTGGACCTTCTGTAATTTGCATGCCGGCCTTATGCAGGAGTGGCAACGCCTCAGTTGCACCGCGGGTTGCAGCCGGTAGACGGCTTGCACGCCGCAGTCTGTCTGACTGGGCAGTGAGGTCTGATGACTCTGCAGCGGTCGGGTGTGCAGGGGATGGACAGCTGGAGAAGTGCGGGGCGCAGTGGGCGTCTTTAGTTAGAAATCACCTGCTTCTTAACGTGGGCCAAGACCATGCAGACATATTGTGTCAGACTCCCCGGCCGACAAAGAGAGGTTATGAAGGCCGGCTGCATCATTGGATTCAAACTGGGCAGTGGGGAAAGGGTGGAGGAGAGGCGGACCACCCTCTCCTCCACCTACTGCAGGGACACATCCAGCTCGTCACAAGGACAGAGACAGGAGATCGTACCTGGTGCAATAAGACGATGAATCACATCAGGCCACATCGATCACACACGTAACAATGCTACACTGCTTGGTTGGTTAGAACTTTGTACTATTGCTTAGTTTAAGTTCATTTAATTTAATTTATGAGCCACTTTGTCTCCCCTCGTCTTGGTGTCCCTGGCTTGACCCACTGAACGCTGTTCATCACCAATGGGCTGTTTATGCTCATAATTGTACACTGTTTTCAAAACTGTGTACAATTGCTGTGTTTTTTTATTCTTTAAATATCATTATTACCACAGTATTTTTCATATAGCGTATTGTAGCATGGACAATAATCTCCCCCTTCCTCCCTCCTCCTCTCCCTCCCTCCTCTCTCTCCCTCCTCCTCTCCCTCCCTCTCTCTCTCTCCCTCCTCCTCCCTCTCCCTCCCTCCTCTCCCTCCCTCCTCTCCCTCCCTCTCTCTCTCTCCCTCCTCTCTCTCCCTCCCTCCTCCCTCTCCCTTCCTCCTCTCTCTCCCTCTCCCTCCCTCCTCTCTCTCTCCCTCCCTCTCCATCCCTCCTCTCTCTCTCCCTCCCTCCTCTCCCTCCCTCTCTCTCTCCTCCCTCCTCTCTCTCCCTCCCTCCTCCCTCTCCCTTCCTCCTCTCCCTCCCTCTCCCTCCCTCCTCTCTCTCTCCCTCCCTCTCCATCCCTCATCTCTCTCCCCTCCTCTCTCTCTCTCCCTCTCTCTCCCTCCCTCCTCTCTCCTCCCTCCTCCTCCCTCTCCCTTCCTCCTCTCTCTCCCTCTCCCTCCCTCCTCTCTCTCTCCCTCCCTCTCCCTCCCTCCTCTCCCTCTCTCCCTCATCTCCCTCCCTCTCTCTCTCCCTCCTCCTCTCTCTCCCTCTCCATCCCTCCTCTCTCTCCCTCCTCTCTCTCCCTCCCTCCTCTCTCTCCCTCTCCCTCCCTCCTCTCTCTCCCTCTCCCTCCCTCCTCTCTCTCTCTCTCTCCCTCCTCCTCCCTCCTCTCTCTCCCTCCTCATCCTCCTCCCTCATCTCTCTCCCTCCTCTCTCCCCCTCCTCCTCTCTCTCCCTCCTCTCTCTCCCTCCCTCCTCTCTCCCCCTCCTCCTCTCTCTCCCTCCTCTCTCTCCCTCCCTCCTCCCTCTCCCTCCCTCCTCTCTCTCCCTCCTCTCTCTCCCTCTCCCTCCCTCCTCTCTCTCCCTCCTCATCCTCCTCCCTCATCTCTCTCCCTCCTCTCTCCCCCTCCTCCTCTCTCTCCCTCCTCTCTCTCCCTCCCTCCTCTCTCCCCCTCCTCCTCTCTCTCCCTCCTCTCTCTCCCTCCCTCCTCCCTCTCCCTCCCTCCTCTCTCTCCCTCCTCTCTCTCCCTCCCTCCTCTCTCTCCCTCCTCATCCTCCTCCCTCCTCTCTCTCCCTCCCTCCTCTCTCTCCCTCCTCATCTCTCTCCCTCCTCCTCTCTCTCCCTCCCTCCTCTCTCTCCCTCCCACTACTGCATAGATGCTGTTACCTCCCTCGGCGGTGATGTCACCGGCTCAGCGGAGCTCCAGCATCCTCAGCAGACACACACAATAGGGCCGTTTTCACCGCCTGGGAGTGCGAAGGAGCGTCCGAGCGAACCGACCGGTGTCACCGCCCTCCCGCCCCCCCAAAGAGAGAGCGACGAGGCGGCTTCATGGAGCCGGCGGGCCGTTAGCAGGAGGCCGTTAGCAGGAGGACCAGGAGGAGAGCGGAGGAGGTGGAAGGAGCTTACGGCGCTCGACCCCGAGGCACGCGGGCCGGACAGCGCCCCGACGCGGGGAGCGCGACGTCATCCGCCCCGCGGAGGTAAGCGCCCCCGTCCCGCGGTCCGCTCCGTTGTTCCGCCCGAAACACCGTTTCATCGAGACCCCGGAGATGTGCCGTTGACTCTCCCGGGGAGAGGCGCAGGGTGCGGCCCATGTCGGACAGACACTGCGGGGACCCGCCGCCCCGTCACACAGCTCTTCCTAGCGGGTAAAATGCGCTTTAATTCCGCGGGCGATGCCTCGTCATTGGGCGAGAGGCTCAAAGTCAGCGTGTTGCTAACAGGCTCCACCTGCTAATGTCAAGTGAGTTTACTTCGTAATACATGTTTTAATATTATTAGTTTATAACCCGACGGGAAGAGACTGTTAAGACGTTAAGAGGTATTTCACGGGCAGTATGAGGAAGGTCGGTGTGGAGCTGTGTGGTCTCATGATAAAAGACATTAATTCTTCTCGAGTCTATTTTGAGGAGTCTTATGATTATTACATTAGCCTTTGTCTCTAGGAGAACGGTAGCCGCCCAGCTGAGCAAGATCAATCAATCATGATCAATTATTTGTATCGTAAGTGTGTTTTTCATGCACAAAATAGTCCGGCGGGGTGTGGATCTTCATCCCTTCATATCGGACAGAAATACATTGAATCCGATTTGGAATCTCATCTATTAGTTTAAAAAAAAAATTTTTAAGTCAATCCCAATTAGTCATCAGCGCGTTGCACCTGAACAAGGACAGCGGTGCCGTCTACCTGCACTCATCACCGGCTGAGGGTCCGGCTGAGGGTCCGGCTGTGGAGGGTCCGGCTGTGGGGGGTCCGGCTGTGGAGGTGCAGCGGGAAGCAGGGTGACACAGCACATTTACACACTCAGGGATGCTGACGGACATCTGAGTCACAGCAGATGGGAACATACTCTGGATATTGATCCCAAATCTCGAGCATAAACGTACTTAAAACAATGACACTTTCCCTTATCGATAATAATAGCTATGAATAATGATATGAATATTTACAGTTAGTGAAAAGTATTCATTTGCTCACTCCTAAACCTTACAGACATTAAATGATTGAATGATGAAGTGGATCGCCACAGGCAGGTGATGAGTCACGGCTGCTCCCGACGGCGCCTCACTGCAAACTCCCACAGGGATTTCACGCCGGCCTTCGTCTCTTAGGGGACGAGTTGTTCGCGGAGCCAGTCGCCGGATTTGTGGCTGCTTTCGCAGCCATTGTCGCCCAGAGAAACAGCCTGCAGACATTCAGCTGCTGCTGCACTTCTTTTGTTACTGCCGGCTTTATTATCGTTCGTCCCAGCGGCTGTAGCTGACCACGCGTGGCCTTTTCGTGTCGGAGCCACACAGCCCCCCCGCCCAACTGTGCTCGTCACGCCGACCGTACGGTGTCACGTTCTGTTCGTACAACGAAACAAATGTAGAAAAACACCAAATAGACCGTTTTGTGCCAGTGAAGAAGGCATACGTCTTTGTATTGTATCCCTTTCTTCTCTCTCTCTCTCCCACAGACCTGCGGGCCCCACCCCCGGGCACAAAAGAAGGCACCCTAAGGTGCTAGGAAGACAGCGTCATGGCCGGGGCCTCTGTGAAGGTGGCGGTGCGTGTCCGCCCCTTCAACTCGAGGGAGATTGGAAAAGATAGCAAATGCATCATTCAGATGTCTGGAAACACCACCAGTAAGTGTTCTTAAGGAGAGTGTGTGTGTGTGTGTGTTCCTGTTTTCACTGTATGAGGTCTATAATTAAATAGAGAACCCTTGGACTGACACGTTAGACAACATGTTTAGCACAAGCAACCCAGATGAATGTCAGCTGAGAAAACCAGAAGGCCCAAGTTGAAGCTTCTCTGAGTGATTGCTGATCTTGACCTCTGACCTCCCTCTGCAAGGGGTTTAATGAAAGGATTCCATTTCCTGTTGCGTAGTACGAGGAGGCACGTTACAGATCTCCTGTGAACATGCTGATACGAGCAGGAACAACCCAGTCTCACAGCGTGGTATTCTCACGCTTTCTCCCCCAAATCCCGACAATACTACGTTTTATTATTCACGTTGCCTTGCAACTACGTCACTAGAAACTAATAAACGGAAGGTCTTCCGCATTCTCTGATAGAAGATTATGAAAATATAACGCATGCTTCTCGGAATGCACACAAATGCTGATGCTTTCTCAAAATATTGTGCTTTTCACAGATAATAGACCGACAGTCCGGCATTTTCTTTTTTTGTAGCTGAGGGAAAGTTGATAGTCACGTGACCTCGTTGCAAAGGCTTTCTCCCCGAAAAGCGCGAGAACGCCACGTTAGCTGTTACACGTTCTGCCGTGAGACTGGGTTGGCAGGAAACTGTTTAGAACCAGCTTTGATATTTAAATGATTTTTCCTCCACCTTTTGTAGAACTTGTCCACCCCTGTTGATGTAGGGGGAGGTCTGTCATGTGATCGCGTGTCCAGATTAAGCCAGGTTTCAAAAACAGCTCCACATTCATCATTTTCATTTACTCCCAACGCAAGGACACAAGCAGCCGCCCCCGTCCTGCACAAGGCGGGTTTTTGTCACAATCTGTCGTAGTTTTTTTTTTTTAAAGTATGTCGTTTAGAGCGGCGCACATTCCTCGTGTTATCCGCTGCAGAGTGAGGAGACTGGAAAGATACTCGATATGTAGCCTGCTTAGCAAGGTAAAGCCGTTGGTCCATAATGGATGAGGGTTCCTGAAATATTTACCGTCTGTCCTAATTTAGCCCCCCACCCCCTCCCCCACACACACACCTCCTCCCTCCCATGTCGTGGGTGACTAGACAACAAGCCAGCTGGCTTTTTTTGGCCGACTGTTCTAACTGTGCTGTTCTGATTGTGTGATATCAGAGTAAACACGTATGATCTGTATAATCAAATCTCAACATATTGGTCGGTACGAAGTGATTCCACAGCCTGAGGGCCACGGCGCCGTGTTGCAGAGCGCCCTCTTCTGTCCCCACACAAGTGGGGTTCTTATTTTGTTGTCGGCCATTGAAAGGTCCTCGCCGGCGCCCCGTTTCACTTCATCTGTTCATCGCAAATATTGGTCTGTTGTTTTTGATTACGAATGTTTCCATGATAATCAGCATGGAGTTCATTCTAATTGGTCCTGCTTGGTGGGTTCACAATAGTCACTAACCGATTTCTTAGATTGTGTTTGTTTGGAGACCTGCTGAGAGGACACACATGGGAGCTCTGCAAACTCACTGTGGGCTCATTCAGCAGAACTCAGCAGAGATCGCTATCGGGCTTCTGGCGAATAAGAACCAGACGAATGTGGCATCCGCTGCATTCACCTTTTATATCTCACTCATCCAAGTTGCCACGTTGCAGTAATAGCGTCATTTAAAAGAAACATTGCAGTGGGCATTTTGACACATGGAAGTCCTCCAACAATGATCCCTCCGAAGTCACTAAGTAGGTCTGTGTTCAGATGTGTACAGAAGCCCGATTCCTTATAAACATTCTACCGTGATGAAATATGATGCACGCACACAAAGGCATGGACACACCGAGTGATGCCTCTGGATGTGGTCTGGACTCTGGAGGGTGTGAGCAGGCGGGCGGCATGGAAAGGCCCGCTGGTTGCCGGGTCTGGAGGGGCACAGAGGCTGCATATAAATGCCCCCTTGTCTTTTTGGCAGTCGGGGCAGAGGGAAGGAAGAACAGGAAGGAGTGGCTTCTGTTTTTGTGCGTGCGAGCCTCTCGGCTTTGTCCTCTCTTGAGCGGGTCAATAGACCCGGTTCCCAGAAAGTAGAAGAATGGCAGTAATCTTGTTGTTTGGGAGATCTTTCCCTCCCACACCGGCCTTAGTTAAGATGCAGGGGACACGTTGAAGGAGAAATAGGCCTCTCTTCCAAAGACTGTTGAGTGCATTCACTCTGCGGGTAGATTCACATCCACCGTGTGTTGCAGCACAACACTTCACAGTTGAGCCAGATTATCTGTCTCTACCTACTCATAATAGATGTGGGGTTTGATACATACTATGTGTTTGAATGTAGAGATGGGCATTTTGAGGGAAAATGGAGTGGATTTGTGTTGTTTTTTTGATTTTGAGTACCTCAAATCCATTACGTTTACTGCCGATCGTGGCGTAGACGGTGCCTCCGGGTTTGTGTCTCGAGCTCTGTGAGCATATAAAGCAGCAGGCAGCATGCGGCCCGTGGTGCTGCTGCTGAAAATAGTAGCATCTACGTGGCCTCCGGTGCCCCTGTCAGTGGGTTCACATCCCCTCTGCCAGACCTGCCGACGCAGACACATTTCCTCCGCCATTGACTGGGTCAGGTCACCCGTGAAGGTCTGACCAGCATCTCTGAGTGTCGCTCAAGATGACACACGGCGATAGGATGCAAAAACATCTGCTTGATTACATCTCAAATTAAACTAGAGCGGAAGTGATGAAGATAAGTAGGGCGTGGTTTGCAGAATAATAGAGTACCTGCTTACATGTCTCTGGGTACATGTGTTGCTTCTCATTGCTGCATATGCAGAGATTGCTTCTGTGTAACAGTTGTCCACATGACGTGACGCATACTTAAACTTAAACCTGTTTATAGTGGTATATAAATGCTAGTATCCTGTATAATGTGAACACTCTTTTCAATTGGGGTCACATCAAAATATAAGTGAATCTAAAATCCTGCAGTATCTTCATTGAAATTTACAGCAATATTTGTAAAACTGTGTCATGTAGAAAACTATTTAGAAGTAGTCTTCAAGCAAAAGATACCTCACCAATAAAATTGGGTCCAGCAAAGGAACATTCTGGGCTGCAGCTGTGCAACAAGCCCCACAACGACGGAACACAATAACGCCCGAGAAATATACAACCAACAATTACGTAGAAGATAGCTCTGAATGTAGGACTAACCTAGGACTAGAATGACGCAGATAAAGGTGGACTCTCTGTGGACACGTGCACGGACCCCGACCTCCTACGTCAAGAGAAATGACCTGCTGTTGTATCTCGTCCAATTACACCGCGCCCACGTTACATGACCTTCCTGCCGTCGTCCATCAAAAAGCATTTCCGTCATGATGGAGAGGTGGGAGACGTGCTGTTAAACCAGTGACAGCCCCCCCCCCTCGCTGCTTCTCTAAAGTAATCACCTTATCAGAGAGCGAGGCACGGTGTGCTGGGGGCTCTTTTATGAATCGTATCCCAATCAGAGATGAGTAAACTAAGAGCGGATGTTGGACTCTGCTCCTGCGTAAATCAAATCTTGTGTTGTTTTGTTACTTAGAGGTTTGTTAAACAGTCCTTTTTAACCTTTTAATCTCAGCTACAACTTTCAGGGAATTTCTCTGAATTTTCTGAAACGACCACTTGGACTCAAGGAGGCTCTAGTTAGAACAGACGTGGAACTACGACCCGGCTGGTTGCTGATTCTAGACACACACTGATGTTAGCCTGTTTTCAGTGTTTCACCTGCTTCACTGCTGCACAGTCTTTTTCATTCAGGTAGACTTCTTATTGTGAGATACAAACAACGGAGAAGCTTGAGCCTACTTCCAGAATCCGTGAGCAGTGTGGCGTCACTGGAACAGCTGAACTCAAAACCACCACTTACACACGAGTGTCACGAGTGGAAGGACTGATCTGTGTATAATGTTTGCTCTTCGTCCACTTGTAACCAGATATTTCTGTGTAGCCGACGATGTCATGGTGCCTTCCACGCCGTTACTCTAGAATACCATCAGGGGACGGCGCACAGACGAGGAAATGAGCAGTTTGGAAGCTAATTCATTAAATGGATTCCATGGCTGCGGTTAGAAAAACTCATAGATTTCGCGACGACCGTGAGTCACAAAGTCAGATAAGTCCTTCGGGGGAAGGTGGTCGCGTCGCGCCCGGGAAACGCTCGTCATCGTGTCCCGGTCCTGAAACCGGAAACCCCCCCGTCAGGCCCTTACATGATGGGTGGAAAGACAGCAGCAGCGTGGACAGGAGGGGGGGGGGCTCTCCTCTATTATCGACCACATGGTGTCTGGAGCTCTGGGAGCAGATACGTTGTTCTGTCACTGCATCACGCTCAAGTGTTCATCTCAATGTGACGGATACCTTCGAAGAGAACAAGCGCCGTGTGTCGTTGATAGTTTGCCTGTTAAGTGCACAGCGAATGTAATGTAATGTATTTGGACTACACAATACAACATAATAGCATAACTAACAGATGAAGTGAAACAGAAAAACATGTTGGTGGTCATCGTTGTCCCATGATGTAACTCTACCAGACCAGAACATGATCAAATCAAAATTGTTTCAATTTGTCACATTTTGATTTGTCCTAAACCGACAAATCTGAGACTTACAAAACAAATACTTCAAATCCTGTGACAGTCTGTAATAAATGAAGCCTGATGAGGTGCTGCTCAGGGCCGACGGTGGCGTCCCACCGAGTCCTAAAATGGCCTCTGCAAGGTAATGATGTGGCCTTTTAATCTGCACCCACAGGCCAAACGGTCTATTTGACCATGGCAAATAGCAATAAAGGTCAGTCCTTTATTGCCATGCAAACACAGTTGATGCGTTTCATTTTCCTCAGCAGCACAAAGGATCAAGCAGCGTAAAACAATTGCAGGTAAAAGTGGTGTTCTAGTGCAACGATACTTTACGCTTGAGTAGTAATGAAATGGGATTTCTGCCCTGTACATGTATGCAGATTGGCACGTATTTGATGTCACAATGCATCTTTGCAGCAGTTCAAATTTCATTTTGCAATAACAGAATGTATTTCATTCAATATTATGACCTCCAGCAGGAGAAAATGCTGTCTCGGCAGTTAGCGTTCATTTTTTCAAAAGCCTGCCAGACGGTTTCTTGTCCTGGTGCATTGGCTGCTGCGCTGCAGTCCCGAGGCCCGAACACCAGCTGACTGCAGGTTCAGAGGAGGCGGCGACCCGTTCTATTAGCACAACACGACGCGTCGCAGATACGGTTTCCCTCTGACTCGTGTTCCCCGTCCTGTCTTTCAGCCATCGTCAACCCCAAGCAGGCCAAAGACAACAAGAGCTTCAACTTTGATTACTCCTACTGGTCCCACACCTCGGTAAGTCTCGGTGCCCCCCCACAGCGAATGTACCAATCAGTTAAATCATAGAGAAACAAATACTTTGTTGACTGTTTCCATGAAGGCACAGAAATACAGTTTGATCAGATTAAGACAGTGGTTTGATTGAACAGAATAGGAAATTAGAATGATCCGATTCCAATGAAAGATAATAGATGATTATATGGAATTATAGCCCAACCCCAGTATTATCGTTTGTCAATTTTATGAGAAAGTTTAAGATTGAATTGGCTGATTGTTGATCTCTGTCTGCAGCCAGAGGACATCAATTATGCCTCTCAGGTGCAAGTGTACAAAGACATCGGAGAGGAAATGTTGCTGCACGCCTTCGAGGGATACAACGTGTGCATCTTTGCTTACGGCCAGACGGGCGCTGGCAAGTCCTACACCATGATGGGGAAACAGGATGTGAAGGATCAACAGGGGATCATCCCTCTGGTACAGATTTACTGTGATTATGGGCCAGTGCTGACGATAAATCAGAGGTGAAATTAGTTTGAATGTCTCAGATGTGACCATTGTGTGAGTAACGTTCATAATTCTCTCCTTCCAGCTGTGTGAAGATCTCTTCACCAAGTTTAATGACAATGGCGACAACAGCATGTCGTATTCCGTGGAGGTAAGCGTCAGATTTCCTCACTCATGGGATCCTCCTGTTCATTACAGTTCCGTTCCTTATTAATCTTACACAAGCACAACAGATTGACTGTAACAGCTTGTCCTCAGCTGCAGCCCCTCGGTAGACGCAAACCCCACTAATGCGGTTAACACAGATTGATAGAGGGCTGCTGTGTGTGCCGAGCTGATGTGATGATTCCAACAGGTAAGCTACATGGAAATCTACTGTGAACGCGTGCGGGATCTACTCAACCCCAAGAACAAAGGGAACCTGCGCGTCAGAGAGCATCCTCTGATGGGACCTTACGTGGAGGACCTGTCTAAACTAGCTGTCACCTCCTACAACGACATCCAGGACCTGATGGACTCCGGCAACAAGGCCAGGTGATGGAGCTGTTTATTTATTCGGGCCATTTTTATAGATAATATGGTGAAATGTACCTCATGCGGTTCCTGTTGAACCTATTTGCACTTTCAATTGTGTTTGAAAGGACTAGAAATAGCAAGACTGGTACTCTGCTCTGTCATAGCTACACACTCATTCTCTTTGCTGGACAAATGTGGAGCGAACCAACAGCTGATGAAAGTGTCTCCGTTGCGTCCACAGGACTGTGGCCGCCACCAACATGAATGAGACGAGCAGCCGCTCGCACGCCGTCTTCAACATCATATTCACTCAGAAACGGCACGATGCCGAGACTGATAACACTTCTGAAAAGGTCGGGCTTCATCCCATCCGGACTGCATTTATTTAACATTGAGCGGCTGCCACTGCTTATCAATGAGCTGATTGATGAAAGTGATATAAATCCTGTCGTAAATTGGAAATCAATGGTTGCTTGAAGGTCGTACTGTAATTGTAAGGTTACTTTGTGCACATGTTTTTCTAATGAGACCTGTCTCCTGAATTAAGATGAATGGCTCTGGGGGTGTTTTCCTGTTATGTGCAGTTTAAGTGACTCATTCTGTTTCAGGTCAGCAAGATAAGTTTGGTGGATTTGGCCGGCAGTGAGAGGGCCGACTCTACTGGAGCCAAAGGGACCAGGCTGAAGGTGAAACGTTTCCCTCGCATTCCTTTCACGTATTCAAACACAAATATAAAAACACATTTCTGAATAATAACGCCGTGACCCTCGTCTGCCTCTCGCTCTATCACAGGAAGGAGCAAATATCAACAAATCTCTAACTACACTGGGCAAAGTCATCTCTGCTTTGGCCGAAGTGGTGTGTATTAATCTGCATGCTGTTGTGAAGTAAAGCTCCATGTTAACAAGCACACATATGTAAACTAAACTGTGTACTTCCTTTCAGGACTCTGGGTCAAATAAGGTAATTTGTTTAACCTTTTAAAATTGTTATTCATTTATTGACTGTTTTTCTCTGCACGAATGATGACCAAACATGTATTGCTTTTGAATGTGGTGTCTTCATTTGACACACAGAATAAAAAGAAGAAGAAGGTGGAAAGCTTCATCCCCTACAGAGATTCGGTTTTGACCTGGTTACTGAGAGAAAATTTGGGTATGAGAGTAATATTTCGCAGCTCCGGCTGATCTATTGGTCCATGACAAACTGAAGCTAAGGTGTCGGCCTTCGTTCTGTCAGGGGGAAACTCTCGTACCGCGATGATAGCCGCCCTGAGTCCCGCAGACATCAACTACGACGAGACCCTCAGCACACTCAGGTAGAGAGCGCGCCCTCCTCCCACACAGTCGCTCGCTGTGTCCTCGAGGGACGCCGGCGTCAAAGTGTTGCGTAATACGCGCTCACCCTCGGCGGCTTGCATCACTTTCACACTTTGTCGTTCATGGGTAGCGGCTCCGGTGTCACATGTTCGCTGTTCCCGCCCCCTCGCGCCCCCGCAGGTACGCAGACCGCGCCAAGCAGATCCGCTGCAACGCTGTGATCAACGAGGATCCCAACAACCGACTGGTGCGCGAGCTGAAGGAGGAGGTGTCCCGCCTGAAAGACCTCCTCTTCTCCCAAGGCCTGGGTGACATCATTGACAGTAAGGGGTCCTTTCATGTGCCTCCCTAGATTGGTGTTACGAGTGCATAGTGAAATTAAAACCCACCTGCACTTCAGCTTCTTGTGGACGAAATAAGTATTACAACAACAGAAATAAAACAAGAAATCCAGACTTTCCTTTCAGGACCAACTTTGCCACAAAAAAAATGCATTTTTCCCAACAAAATAATGAAATATTGTTTCAGCGCGTGAACATTTTTATCTAAGGGTGTTTCGCTGTCTCCTTCTCTCTCTGTGTCTCCTTCTCTTCTCTTCCCCCAGCATATCGGGCGACTGGTGCTGTCATAGAGGGTTTGAAATGTGTGTTTTCTGGCTATTGCTTTAGCTCTTGTGGCCGCTTAGCATCACCGGCACTTAACGTAACAGAAAAAAAGTAGATTCTTGTTCTCTGCAGAACCGCAATATGACAAAGCATTGATCAGAATGTTTTAGGCCGGTCGCACTGAAATGCAAACCTAATGTCAGCCGCCCCAAGGGGGATTTTTCCAGCTTTGTCATTTTTTGCTCCTAATTGGGCGAATGTGCCGAGTCATGGTGCTGCAGAGATGGTGTATGGCTGCGTAGCTGTGGCATCGGCGGGACAAAGCTTGATTGTTAACAAAGCAACAAGGCAGAGCATCTCAACATGAGTATTCATCCCTATTATTTATTCCTCCATGAAGAGACTTCCCCCCCGTTCCCCTGATGACGCAGCCCTCCGCCACTGAAAGTATAATTACTTTAGTAGCATCTTGAGGAAGTCATCTCATTTCAGTATTTTTTTTGCTGCAGTCTTTCTATGACACACTTTATTAACTGCAAGCAAAGGCAAAATGGTATAATGGTAACATGGTATATAATGGTAGGGGAAACACTGGGATCACTACTTTCAGTTTAAATTTCAGAGAAGCTTACTGAGCATCAGATGCGTCTTTAGGTAATAATCCTAATTGAGACGTCAGGCTTCCTAATTATCTCTGTAGGAAACATGTCCCCATTATAAATGAGTCTTTACGTTTCTGCAAGCATATCATATTTTTATTTTCCATGACCGGTGTTATTTTTTGTTGATTTGGAATCCTTATCTCATACCAGCCTTCATTTCTGAAATGGGGGACGAACAACATAAATGTATGGCAATTTTAAAAATAAGTCATTCTTGTTTGTGAATGTCCCTGCATATGACGCTCTGCTTGACATATTTGCATCATAGCTGCATTTTCTTTGGTCGTGGCTGGACAGCCTCCCTGTTGCATCTTTTCAGTTGGTCTCCTTGCGTGTGGCTTCCTGCTGCTGCTGCTGCCCTCGCTTGTATACAAGTAGATTCAATTTCTCTCCGTGACTTAGATTTGTTTCAAGCCACATATCTTCTTCTCTTCTATTCTCTTCTCTTCCTTATCTGTTTGCATTTCAACATTATTTTATTCCCCCCCGTTATCGACACCCCGCACCCACAGCCCTGCCGGACTCGTCCGATTACGAGAATAATAACAATAAAGGCCAAGCAGTGAATCAAAGAGATGATCTCTCCACAGTGACAAATGCCATGACAGGGATGAGTCCCTCCCCGTCCCTCTCAGCCTTGTCCAGCCGCGCCGGCTCCATCGCCAGTCTTCATGACCGCATCATGTTCAGCCCGGGCAGCGAGGAGGCCATCGAGAGGCTGAAGGTGAGCGCGGGTTTGAATGCACACCGCATTGGCACAGTGTAAAGCAGCGCGTTGTTCATCACTGTACGCAGATACGTCTTCAGTGGGCTCAAAACATCTCGCTCAAAACATTCAGTGCAGTGAAAGGGCTAACAAAGCAATAAGCTGTGCATCAATATTCGTTTCTTTCTACTTAATTGATGCGTCTTTGTGAATTTAGAGGGATGACAGGAGAAAGATACATGGCACTTTTGTAGTTTTAGAAGGTACTCAACTGTGCATTTGTTGAGGACTAATTTGAGTCATGTATCTGGTGCTGAAATGAGTACACCACAACATGGATGACTCAAAGTACACTGCAGAGCCCACTTTCATCTGAACCAGTGGCTCAACGATGTGTTTGTAATAGTTTTTGGACAACAGAGATATCAGATTTGAGGACATATCAGACTTTGAATACACCACACGATACGTTGTTAGTGCATCAATTAATTGTTTCGTCTTTGGATGGGATTTGTTGCACACACTAGAAATGTATTCATTTCTACTATTTTTTTATATGTCAGGAAACTGAGAAAATCATTGCTGAACTCAATGAGACTTGGGAAGAGAAACTTCGCAGAACTGAAGCCATTAGAATGGAGAGGTGAGATATACCATATATACACATGTATGGACATTTCTTATTTGAATATACTTCATTGGTAAATGTCCTTTATTTTTTCTTAGCCAAAGAAATTGTGAATAAAGAAAACAATTCATGCACACTGTGAAAACCGGCTTATGACGGAAAACTGTTTAAAAATACAACTGAAAATACCTGTGGAATATAATACATCTTATAACATGGTTAATAATCCTGTTTTTGTTTTTTAATGACTCCATAACTTGCACAAAGAAGACGGTGCCTAAATAGAGCAGGTCCAAAGAATAGCATGTTTACTCTTTCCTCTTGACCTAAGGTCGGTGCTGTTTATTGAGCATTTAAGAAACGGTGGGGTTGTTTGAACCACTTTGCGTGTGTGCAGCAGGTAAACCGCATTGTTCTGTGAGGCAGCTGAAATAAGAGAACTCCTGCAGCCGCTCGGGTGACCGAGTCCTGCTTCTGTCCACAGAGAGGCCTTGCTGGCGGAAATGGGTGTAGCAATGCGAGAAGACGGCGGGACAGTCGGCGTGTTTTCTCCCAAGAAGGTAAAAAGACACGAAGCGTCGCCTCTTCTCCTTAAGCCAATACTTACCGATTCAATCATTCACCGAAATGCTTGTTTATTTACCCCAAAGCCCTCCGATAACCCTAGAATGCCCCAGCCTGTGTTTATCGACACGGTGGGGCTGTTCTCCCCCAACGAGGTTTGTAGCTGTGAAGTGCTTGAAGCGGCCTCCTTCTCTCTCGAGTGCTCTCAAGTCTCACTTCAACAGCAGAAGCACAGCAGTCGAGGGTTTCTCTTCTTTCAATAGGTGTTATCTGAAATCCACTTCATTAGTCCCTTCAAACACTTCCTCTGCAGCTGCACCGCGGGCAGCACTGGGTGCAAACATTGGGGGGAGGGCAGGGAGGGGGGGTAGTGTCCCCGTTCCAGTGGGACCAACGCTGATGCTGTGAAGCTGGGGAGTGAATTTGACTGCATGACTGCAACTATCTCTGATTTCCAGCTCTTTGATGTGCAGTGTATCCATACCCTACATTGTAAATGACACACGGGTAACGAATGATGAATGTTCATTACTAAGCACATTTGCACAGTTAGTGAGTGATTCCTTTTCGTGCGTTAGACACCTCATCTGGTGAATCTCAACGAGGATCCTCTGATGTCCGAGTGCCTGCTCTACTACATTAAAGACGGGGTCACCAGGTCAGAGGCTGCCGGGCATTCAAAAGTCTTTACTGAACTGATTATTGCATTAACATTTGTCATATTAAATTAGGGCCGTATTTACTTACTAATTCTTCTTTTAGGGTCGGCCGTGTAGACGCCGCCAGTCGTCAGGATATAGTCCTCAGCGGCCACTTCATCAAGGATGAGCACTGCACCTTCACCAGTTCCACTGATAAAGCAAGAGAAAGTACGCAACCGTTACCGTGCACTGTTGGCTGCTGGTCTTGCACGTCGCAGTTTGATATCGGCAGAAAAGTGAAGCCTCCAATTGGCGTCTCTGTTTGTAATTAGTAGTTGTCCTGGAGCCGTGCGAAGGAGCTGAGACTTATGTCAACGGAAAGAGAGTGACCGAGCCCACTGTGCTCAAATCAGGTCAGTGAGCGCTGCGCCACTTTCCCCCGTCCTCCTTGTGCTGAGCGCAATAATACCTAACGCGCGCCTGCCACTCTGACTTCTTATCCCCAAAAGGGAATCGCATCATCCTGGGGAAGAGCCACGTGTTCCGGTTCAACCACCCCGTGCAGGCCAGGGCGGAGAGGGAGAGGACGCCATGTGCAGAGACCCCTGCTGAGCCCGTGGACTGGGCCTTCGCCCAGAGGGAGCTGCTGGACAAACAGGGCATAGACATGAAACAGGAGATGGAGCAGAGGTACTTTGGGGGGGGGGGGGGGGGGCACAGTGGGCCATGTTTTATTTTATCCCTACCTGGCCCCTTTAAAAAAGCCTGTGAAAGCAAAAACAGTTCCACCCCCGCATCGAAAACTCTCCTGACTGTCTCAAACCCCATTTGTTTTTTCTTCAGACTGCAGGAGTTGGAGGACCAGTATCGCAAAGAAAGAGAAGAAACCAACAACCTTCTGGAGCAGCAGAGACTGGTACGGTAATGAGCAGCAGACATGAAAACCAGCAAAGATCTGATCTGAAATGTTGTTAAAGGGTTTTTTATTGCATGCATCATATAAGTCAACAACTTGAAAACCAGCCTGAAGGTATTTTTCCCATGTTCCCATCTGACAACATTAGTATTTTTGACTTTTAGTTGTTCATTTCAACAGTGATGCCAATCCAGCCAACAGTTCACTAAAGGCCTCGTGTTGATGCGGCTCTTCATTATTTCATTTTCTAGGATTATGAGAGCAAGCTGGAGGCTCTTCAGAAGCAGGTGGACAGTTACTACCCTGAAACCCTTGAAGAAGAGGAAGAGCCAGAGGAGGAAGGTAGTGTAACCGCTTGGACATGCGATATGTATGATCTAGTGAGCGAAACACTCATGAGAGGATTTACCTTGTTTGGTCCCACAGTGCAATGGACGGAGAGGGAAAGAGAGCTGGCTGTGTGGAGCTTTCGTAAGTGGCGGTGCTACCAGTTCACCTCTCTCCGTGACCTGTTGTGGGGCAACGCCATCTTCCTCAAGGAGGCCAATGCCATTAGTGTGGAGCTCAAGAAAAAGGTGCAACTAGTCATTATCATTTCAACTTCCAGTGGATCCACAAATAGAAGTTACAACACGCCGTGCCTGACCACACCGATGCTCGTCCGGCGCCCTCCCTGCAGGTCCAGTTCCAGTTTGTGCTGCTCACAGACACGCTCTACTCCCCGCTGCCTCCAGACCTGTTGCCCCCGGAGGCGGCCAAGGACCGCGAGAAGCGACACTTCCCGCGCACCATCGTGGCTGTGGAGGTGCAGGATCAGAAAAATGGAGCCACCCATTATTGGACACTAGAAAAACTAAGGTGCAAGTCATTGTGTAACATGCTGATGTGCAGTAAACGGTATGAACAACACGCTTCCACGCTGTGGGTCTTTTTAGCGCCTGGGTGACTTTAATGAGGCTTCTTGCAGGCAGAGGCTGGATCTCATGAGGGAGATGTACGATCGCGCAGCCGACGTGCCCAACAACACCGCTGAAGACGGGGAAAATGTGATGACCGGAGGGGACCCCTTTTATGACCGCTTCCCTTGGTTCCGTCTGGTGGGCAGGTAAATGCTGCGAAACATTAGCCCGATGCATTATGGGAATAGGGCAGGAAGGCATTCACAGTGAGCTAGTATGAAAGGTCAGAGAGCAGAAGCCCCGTGTTAGACATTCCTTTCGGGACAATGGGAGGCTGTTAAAGGCCACAATGAGTGAGACACCAGCACGAAGCCGTCTACCGCCCACTTCCCTGCAGTCGCTGTCCTCATGTGCTGACCTCTGGTCTTCCCAGTCTGTGCCCCACTGCCATCACAGCTAATACAAAACATTTAAATGTTTAACTTTTAAAGATTCAGTCTGAATCTTAAATGAATGAAGTCCTGAACGTGGATGGATTGGACAGCAAACAGTAAACGCTTGTTAATACCAAGCCGGTCTTTTTTCAAAAATGTTCAAAACATTTTGGATTTCTTCAGTCCTCCCACTCTAAGCCTGCTGTTTCTTTCTCTCCCACTTTGGCAGACAGCCTCCCCATCTCTTTTCCAAGCTCTCTCGCTCTCTCTCTCTCTCTCACTTGCTTTCTCGCTCTCTTGCAAACAGGTCCCACACAGTGTCACACGTCCCGGTTACATAATGTTCAGCATCGAGCCTTTCATTTCATTTAGCTCATGCAAAACAAGCAGACATGATTGGGTAGTAATCTGAAACATGTCGTCTCTCCGCTCATTTTGAATTTCACAGAAGCCGAGAGGCAAGTGAAAAAAATAGAAATCTGGTGATCTATTTTCCATATCTGATCTAAGTTGTTTTCTCTCCTGTATTCAATGCTTAAAAATATACAAAGTGGAATTTTCTAGCTTCATTTTTCTACATTCCTTAAAAAAAAAGATTTGTGAAACAAATGGAACAGGTTTTCTCCGGTAAAAAATGTCATGTTCATTCTGTGTTTTGTCGTTGTAAAGCTAATCTCATTAAATGCACCACTCCCCTATGTGTTTTTTATGGGACTAAAAGAATTCATCTTTTCTTCCAGGTTAGTTTTTTTAATTTCCCACACTGTATTTGTTTGTTAACCAGCATTTCAATCAAAAACCCAGAGTTGAGGCGGCCACCCGGTTTGGTGAAAGACGTTCCGGCACAAGAGCAGAGCGCTGCTGAGACGCGGGCGGCAGCGGAGCCAAAAACAATCCAGATCGGTTATTGAGTGAGCCGCGGTTAAAACATTTTCCCAGCAGGGAACTGAAGCCATCGAAGCTACAGCAATAAGTCTCCTGCTGCCCCCGTCCACAGCAGCGCATCGCTTTGCCCCCCTTTACTTCCAAACGTCCCCCCCTGCAGGTAATACTGTGACCATGGAGTAGTGCCGACTAGGACTCGTACAAAGGACCCCACCTCCAAACACGTGTGAACCACCCGTGGTCCAGTCCATCTATGGCGCCCCCCCCCCCCCTTCTTGTTTGAACAAGTGTGTGCTTTCTATCCAATTGTTCTAACCTAGTTCCCATGTCTCTGGCGGCACCAGAAACCCCATTTTCAAGACATGCATGAGCGAGCGCATGAGTGACCCCACCCCATCCCCGACCCTCTCCAACTCTGAAATTACTGAGCTGGCTGACCCGCAGCGGGAGGGTCGAGGGGAGGAGGAGGAGGAGTTGGAGGAGTTGGAGGAGTTGGAGGACCTGGACGATGATATCTTTTTGGACGACCCGTGCTTGGAGCTCGGGGGAGAGGAGGAGGAGGAGGAGGAGGAGGATGATGATGATGATGATGAGGGAGAGCTTTGCCGAGGCTCCGGCGAAGGCCAGGATCCCTTTTACGACCGCTCACCATTATTCAGGGTAGTGGGAAGGTTGGTGAGGTTTTGGGAGCATGCTGGCTGGAGGAAACCAGCTCTTTCACGCTGAGACACTGGGGTCGTTTTGCACAGGCGTCAGGACAATATTTCAAAACGCAGTCCCGTGTGCATGACAACATGTAATTTACATTTCTTTGTTCTGTCCAGTTGGGACAAGTAACCTATGGCTGCAAGGTCAACATAGAGTTGGGCCATTTCAGTTGGATTGCATCGGTGTGGACGTGAAAATCAATGTGGGAATTCAATTCATTTGCTCATTTGCTGCTGCAGATATCCGCTTTAAGTTTCTATTCCCTGTCTTGGTCGTCACTGCGTCTGATGTTTGTGACACAAATTTTCCAAAGTCAGACCACTACACAGGTTGTTTTTTCCAAGAACATTCAGGGTTTGTCCTTTTGATTTCTACCTTTTAATATCATCAAATTTTGACTGCTGCTTGACTTTCCCTGTTTTGGTTTCGGCTTAACTGTTCCTTCAGGCCAAAAGCTTCTCTAAAACAATCCCGCCCCCGGGCGGGTCAGTTCATACTTTGTGTTTCCATGGAAATTCAAGCACAGTTGAGGCTCAGCGGCTGCTTGAGGTGTGTGTCTCGCTTGCGTGTGGCTAACAGCAAACTGGTGGCTTTTTACTGAAGACCGTCCACTAGCCAGAGCACTGACTCCATGTCTCCTGGGGGACTGTTCATAAGACGAGAACCCACACATATGTTCTCACCGCGCTGTGCCAACCTGAACACGCATGAAAGCGCCGTGAAATAGCAAAGTAATGTTCGAGGAAGACTCAAAACCTCAAGATGAAAGAGCTGGTTTCTACTGCAGCTGTCTCTTTTAGGCATGCCAGAGCACAAGTCTTTTCATTTTGACCTTTTTTGTCTATTTTTTTTTACTTGAATACGTCTGATGATGAACTAGTGCCACTAGTTTGGACAAATTAGCACTTCGTCCCAGGACGTGCTCTTTGATTTCTGATGTCATTCGTTGTCTTTTTTCTTTTTTGTTGGTGTCGCATTCAGTACATCCAGCTGTTGGCACTTTTCTATTCAAGCTGAGCCATGTTCCGTTTGATGATTTCTGCTCCATTTGCTTATGATTCCTTTGAGTCCAGACGTCGAAGACATTTTTGTTCAGCTGTTTGTCCCGAGCATGCCTTCTTTGCACCTCACCAATCTTGGCATAAGCCACTCCCTTTCCAACACAACGCCCAACCCTTAACGTCGACCCCCGATGGCTGGTGGGAAATGTGGTCCTTGACTGCAAGATCGCACACTGTAGCTGAAAAGGGAACATTTCTAGTGCAGCTGCTTCCTCATTCAATGTTTTCAAATCTAATGCATAGACAAAGTGCCTGTAGCGTTCATATTGACACATTTGATATGTAGTGCAGCTTCTTCATACATTACAGATGCACTTGTTAGAGTATTATTCCAGGAATGGAATTCATTGCTCGTGAGGAAATCCTCTGCTGTGAGTAGTGACCTGGTTATTTAGCAGTCAGCTAGTGGACCCTTACACACCTGCTCCTTGGCCTCACCAGGCTCTAATGCAATAGTTAGGCAGTACTGCATGTGACCCAAACCCTCACAGTGTCATTATTTCTAGATGGTGAGAGAAAGAGCCCGACCCCCCCCACCCCGCAAAGCGATAGTAAAGGGCAGCCATGGCCGTCGCAAGAGCAGTCCCAGCTTCTGTTTGGTTGCTTTGCAGCTCTATGTTCTGTGTTCCAGTCCAGTGAGATCTTACCGAGTGTGATCACCTGAGATGTGTTGTTTCTAATCTTTTATCGTGTCTCTCTGTCTCTCTCTCTCTCCGCCTCCTGTTCAGGGCGTTTGTCTATCTGAGTAACCTGCTGTACCCGGTTCCTCTCGTCCACCGCGTGGCCATCGTCAGCGAGAGGGGCGAGGTGAAAGGCTTCCTCCGTGTGGCGGTGCAGGCCATATCAGGTAAGGCTTTCGCCCTCAGCCTTGCTCGATGCAGAGGGGAGTGGGGGGGGGGGGGGGGATTGAAAGGGCGTGCTGTGTGGGACTTCTTGAGGAAGTGAAGTGAAGGCGCTTTGTGTTTTCCTCCAGCCGACGAGGAAGCTCCCGACTACGGCTCGGGGGTGAGGCAGTCGGGCACTGCCAAGATCTCCTTTGAGGATCAGCAGTATGAGAAGGTAGAGAAGGCCGGGCCGCATTCACCTGTGCTGTATGTACCAACCTGCCCAACGCTCTGCCTTGCTCCCGCAGTTCCAGTCGGAGACGTGCTCCGTAGGACTGCCCCGCTCAGGAGCCTCACAGGAGGAGCTTCGCTTTGTGGAGGGAGAGGGGCAGAACGCAGAACCGGGACCCTCGGCTGATGAGGTCAACAATAACACATGTGCGGGTAATCCTACTTCATAAGTGCCGGGATGCATGTTTTGTGTGCTTGGGTATGTGCGATGAAGTTAATTTGACATATGGATGACGATATCCAATATATATATAGATATATATCTATATATGGCATGTTTTCTCTGAATTTGGTAGATTAATAGTCCAAATGAAATCGTTTTCTATGGATTAAGTACTCTAGTACCCTCTAGTAGTGTATTTCTTTCTTTTAATTATGAATTTCTAGTCAGTACTGTTATCATCAATCATGACGATGTAATTGTGTATCAAGATATCTCCATTGATGATTTCATTGCAATATAACTTCATCCAAAGATGTTGATTACAGTATATTTAATCATATATCATCATTATACAACACAGGCACAGACAAACGAATTCCGTTACACAATAAACATGTGAAAAAAGCAAAACAAAAAGTACATTCTTTCATTGTGTTTTGGGAGATTGCATGATGAGGATTGCGAACAGCAGCAACAGATGTTCTGCCTTCCCTCACAGCCGGTACAGATGAGGCGGAGAGTCCGCTGAAGAGTCAGGGCGGCCCGCTCGACACAACTCTGGAGCACCTGAGGGTCGGCAACGTCTTCACCTTCAGGGTGACCGTCCTGCAAGCCTCCAGCATCCCTGCAGAATATGCCGACATCTTCTGCCAGTTCAAGTAAACATGTTTTTATTGTCAATATTTCTCATGTTCATTCGTTTACACGTTTTACATGTAAATGATTCCACGTGGATTGATTTCAGTTTCATCCACCGGCACGACGAGGCCTTCTCCACCGAACCCCTGAAAAACACCGGCCGCGGCCCCCCGCTGGGCTTCTACCACGTGCAGAATGTAAGGAGCACCGGCCGGTCAAACTATGACGTCACGATCGGAACGGGTGAAGCTCTTTAACATCCCTCCGTTGTTTTTGATAGATTGCTGTTGAGGTGACTAAATCCTTCGTTGACTACATCAAGTCTCAGCCGATTGTGTTTGAGGTGTTTGGACACTACCAGAAACAGCCTTTCCTGCCGCTCTGTAAAGACGTCATCAGGTACCCGGCTGTGAAGCCTCCCGGTAGACCGATCCAATGCGTACAGTTGTGTTTTCATAAAATCCCAGCTGACTGTTATTTCTACTGCCAGTCCTCTACGTCCCTGCAGAAGACAGTTCCCGCGAGTGATGCCTCTGTCCAAACCAGGTAAATCAACTCCCGGCACAGCGTCTCGACCACTGTTCATCCATGTCGTATTGTCCTTCGTACCGGTCTGCCTGCACGTCATGTCATCGTAGCTTCATGTTGTTGGGTGTGAGCAGCTGACTCCGACACCTCTCCGGACCGGGAGAAATCGCTGGACCTGATCCGATACCTGGTCCCAGACGTGCTCAATGGGGTGCTGGTGGACTCGCTGTCAGACCACGCTCTGTCTGCCGCTGGCCTGGCTGCTTCTTTCCTACTGGAAGGAAACGAGCGAGCTCAGCTGACAGCTCCGCCCACCTCTATCTGTTCGGTCATTAAAGCTCAGAAGCCGGGTTGGTTCATAGATGTTGGATCCAAGTGAATCCTGGTACTGACAGCCTTTTTATACCAAGTGGTAATGTTGGTGGGACCCCAAAGTACTCCCAAAGCAGTTATTGAAGTGACCCACATTTAACAAGTTGTATGCTCTTTTGAAAAGGAAAGTATCTTGATATAAAAAGGCGGTGTTCTTGTGCCAGGGCTTGGTTGGATTGGCTCTCTGGCGTCCTGTGTGTTCACTGTGAAACATGCGTGTTGCATCCTCCTGTCAGCTCTCCCTCTTGGATCACAGAGCTCTCTGCTGCAGTATGATTGTGAATATCTCTCTCTCTCTCTCTCTCTCTCTCTCTAAAATGGAAATGTTAAATGAGCATTTTTTATAATATCCGATGAGATAATCTCTTTTTCATTAATCTGCAGTGAAGAAATTCACAATTTATAGCTGTATGAAAAAAACAATCAAGAGGTAGGAAACAGCTAAGGAACTGTTGGGAATATTAAATACAAAACAGAAGAATTAAGGAAATAACATTTAAAAGCTAGAACACATGATTAACTGTACATCCCAGTAAGTAGCCAAAGTGTATACTTGTGTAGTCAAACACACTAAATGCACTATTTATAATATACAAAAAAAAATCTGCTTTGTCCGAACTGCCAAAAGCAATCAGAGGAGTGCAGTTAACTAATAGTGAGACTAGTTTTAATAATTTCCACATTGCCCTTTAAAGGAGATTCCTGTTCAAGGAGGCTTATGAATACTCGAGTAAGATGTGAAACCTCCCACAGAACTTTAGTGGAATCCTCCTTTACGAGGCGGCTGCAGAAGTTCCCTTTAAATCTTCTGGAGAAAAGGAGCTTCTTCTACACGACGAAGCTGTTTTTCCCTGCAGCACTGATTTCCTTTCTTCTTCCCTCTCTCTTCCCTGCGTAGGTGTAGAGCAGCTCCCTGCTGTTAGTCCTCTCCCTCTGCCCGTCTCACACGCTTCTTATCTCCCTTTCTCAAACACAGTGCCTGCGACCAAGCTGACCGCCATGACCCGCCCGCAAGCCGGACCCTGCCACAGCAAACACGATCTCATGGTGTTCTTTGAGATCTGCGAGCTGGAGGCCACTGGAGAGTGAGTGTCATGGGTGACCCCCCCCCCCCCCCAATGTTTCCCTTCAATCATCGTTGTTAAGGAATAGTCACATCCATGTCTGTGTCCCCCCAGCTACATCCCTGCAGTGGTGGACCACAGAGGAGGAATGCCTTGTCACGGCACGTTCCTACTGCACCAGGTGGGTCCGTCACACTGTGAGCAGGTGTGATATTTGGAATGTCTGAAGTGAGTGGAGAGTAACCAGTACTCTGTCCCGGGGATCTCTTGGCAACCACAGGGCCTCCAGAGGAGGGTTACTGTCACCATTGTGCACGAGTCAGGAGGTGACATGGAGTGGAAGGATATCCGTGAGCTTGTTGTGGGTGAGTTTAGCTCTCAGAACCGAGCAGGGACACTGTGAAGGGATCGCCTCTCACTGGACCACTTGTGTCTTCTTAGGTCGCCTCCGCAACACCCCCGAAGCTGATGAGACCATCATTGACCCGAATATTCTCTCTCTCAACATCTTGTCTGCTGGTTACGTCAGACCCATGAGGGACGACCGGTACGTCCTGGAGATCTTTGCTTATTTAAATTGAAGTCGCCACGTGTGTTATTTGTTTATTACAAGGTTGTGGCATCGTGGCTGATTTGGAAACAATTCTGTGCTTCAACAAGAGTGTTATCTGTACTTGAGTACGGCTGCGACAGGCCGATGCATGGCACATAGTACCTGTCCGTTAACGGCATGGCAGACCAGGCACTACCGGAATGTTATCCAGTGATCTTTTATTACTGTGGCTGCACGGGAATAGTCCCCCTCTCTCTAACTGCAGGAGGACGCACATTAAAACATCCAGAGTTTTCAAATGTGCCACATTTGAATGAATGCAGTCGTCCACGCTGGCTGTGCGGCCCTCCGGTGCTTGTGTGTGCTTCTGTCATTATCGTGCCTACACGTTGCATCTCACCTCATTTTACCACCTCACCTCTACGTCTCATCTACACTAACTGACCCCAATGCTGAAACTACTACTACTCCCAGAGGGACAAGTTTCAACCAGGCGCCCTCGGTTCACTGAATCTCACAACAGGTCTAATACAAAAGCACAGCAAAGCAGCATGTGTCACCGCGTGGTGTCGAATCACTAATAAACACCCACCGTCTGCATTTGTCACAGTTTGGACATACAACACCCATCATCACTATATTAAATCACATGATTAACGTTCAAGACAACGGAAAGATGATTGGACTAAGAATGTGCTTACTGACTAGTTTCCACACTAAAGAGATGGACCTTGGTCCTAAGTCTTTTGTTGCTCTGCAGTACAGGGAGCAGAAGGTTTATTTTAAGAACCTGTATCATATGTTACATACTATGTAGCCTGTTTATTCAAGAGACTCATTAATTAATAAAAATGTCATTTAACATCCAAACTCACCATTAACATCACCACTATATGGTGGCAAAAAGAGTGGTAGCACGTACGTATCCATAAATAAATAAAAATTGCCTCCCGTCCAAAGTAATTATATTATCTAAGTTTGACTCGTGTAAACTGTAAAGTATTTTTGCCTTTCAACTTAAGCTTTCTATGTGACCCTCTGTTTTCCCGACAAAAAGCCAAACGATACCAGCAACCGGCCATCGGCATGACCTCCGCTTACTGAGGCCCCGTGTAAGCGGCTGCGTCCAGCGGTCCCGCTCGACCGGCCCGTCTCTGACCACGGTGCTGGGCCCTCAGCGCGTGTCCTGTTACGGCCTCAGCGGCCCCGCATCGGGCTGGGGGGCTCAGCGCCCGGTCGGGTCGGGGTCCAGCGTGGTCTCTGCTCAGTCTAACGTAAAGGTTTATATGGATGCTAACATGTTTCTACCTCCAGTCCACTAACAGAATGTTGTTGTTGTTGTTTTTTGCTTTTGCAGACAGTTTCTTGATTCGGACATGCCGAGGTATTTTACTTTTGCCTCTCTTCTCTTAAGTTAAACACATGTACGCCTGTCACTCCCACCCAGCCTCCAGCGGCTTTTCTTTACGCTCTCTTCTACTCTGCCATTGCTGTCAGCCATTCATCTGTGCCTCTTTGTCTCCCCCTTCATGAGAAGTGAGGGATGTGGCTCTGCATGTCCCTGGTTGTCTTGCTAGGCTGGCTGCGTGTGTCTGCGTGTGTGTCTGCGTGTGTGTCTGCGTGTGTCTGCGCGTGTCTGCGTGTGTGTCTGCGTGCGTGTCTGCATGTGTCTGCGTGTGTGTCTGCGCGTGTCTGCGTGTGTGTCTGTGTGTGTCTGCATGTGTCTGCGCGTGACTGCGTGTGTGTCTGCGTGTGTCTGCGCGTGTCTGCGTGTGTGTCTGCGTGTGTCTGCGCGTGTCTGCGTGTGTGTCTGCGTGTGTCTGTGTGTGTCTGCATGTGTCTGCGCGTGACTGCGTGTGTGTCTGCGCGTGTCTGTGTGTGTGTCTGCGTGTGTCTGCGCGTGTCTGCGTGTGTGTCTGAGCGTGTCTGTGCGTGTCTGCATGTGTCTGCGCGTGACTGCGTGTGTGTCTGCGTGTGTCTGAGCGTGTCTGTGCGTGTCTGCATGTGTCTGCGCGTGACTGCGTGTGTGTCTGCGTGTGTCTGCGCGTGTCTGCGTGTGTGTCTGCATGTGTGCGCGTGTCTGCGTGTGTGTCTGCGTGTGTCTGCGTGTGTGTCTGCGTGTGTCTGCGCTGTCTTCAGGCTGCATGACTCGCACGTGGACCGTCCCGTCCTCGGCTGTGTCTCCGCCGTAGGTGTTGAGGGGCCAACGTCACAATCTCTGGTTCTTGGTTGATCACTGAATTTAAAAAGTCCCCTCGGACATGATTGAGCTCCCTTTAGTGTTTGTACAGACGAAATTCAGTGTGAGTAAAAGAGGTATTAGTACTTAACCAGTAGAGGGTGTAAGGGATCCATTTACACCAACAAAGGCACACCGGTTCACCCGCAATTCAGGCTTCTTACTTCACTCTGTTTATTATTTTCATATTGCAGTGAAAGAATATTATAAATCCACGGATATGCCTGTGAAAGTCATCAGTAATCCCAACAGCGCTACAGATTATTAACATTGATGGGTGCCGTAATATGGATCACGTCATTCACAGAACGCACTCTGAGCGCTTTCAAAATGCAGCCATTAAAATGTAATCCGGTGATCCATTACATCAGCAGTAGCACATGGCTCAGACTTGCTGCGATGTTGTGAATGTTTCTGGGGAACTAACGGCCCCTCTCATGCTACGCCAGCAGCATGACTTCAATCCTGGCTCCCGCGTTCTCAGGAGGTTGTAACAGCGCAGCGAAGCACGCGTTGCTGTCCGGCAAAGAGGAGATTGTTCCCTTAGTGAAAGCGAACACTTTTCTACTACTGGGAAAGGAGAGCGCACGTGAGCGCCGCAGGTCACGCACTTGCTAACTGCTGCAGACCGGTTCCGTCTGCACGCTGAACCCCCTCCCTCCAGCCGGGGCAGCAGAGTCAACGCGTTGCTCTCAGCTTTCTTCTGGGTGACACATGGTTCACTTTTCAATGAGGTCACCTCAGTCCAAAGCCCACGGCCCAACATCTGAACCTCATGAAGAGGTTTTTTACGGCTTACAGAAACATTCGTTTCCTTTTACAGTTCATGCTTGGATTATCTTTGTAAAGAAAAAGTTAAAGCTGAACGGGGATTCGGGCCAGAAGAATCACTGCTTCCAGCGTGTGATTTATTCCCCTCGGGGGAAATGGGGAAAGTACATTAAGGTAGTCGATCAGCGGAACCGCCACGTGCTGTTATTTCACAGAGATTGCATCTAGTCCATCAGCACCTTCCAAGGCGTCCCTCAAGGGTCCGTCATGGGTGAGCTGTACCATCCACTGCAGCGCTTGACGTAACGGGGTAACGGTGTGAAAGAAACACAAACACCATCCCAGCGTGCAAGCCAACCAACCGCACCGCACTTCCTGTCTCTCACCTTCTGCTCTCTTACTGGTTTCTTCTTTCTCACAGCATTTCCTTGGGAGTTGACCATAGGTATTTCACTGCCCTGTCCCTTTCATCTGGCTGTCCAACCCCCTTCCTGTTTCTGTACTAAGACTCATCTCAGCTCTCTTTGCTTTTCTGCACAGAGCAGAGCATCATCCTAGTCGACCTTTTGCATGCAATAAGATTTCATTGCCAATTTTTGTTGTACTTCAAGGAATAGTTACTGCAATGTTTGCATAATATAAGAAATTAATACTAAATCAATTATCAAAGAAAACCAAACGGTTAGGTTTTCTGTGTAGTAATGCATTAATAGTGAACCTTCTGTATTGGAACTATTTGCCAGGCTTTAGCATGTTGCTCAGGTAGAACTCAAGACTTTATTGTTGACTGCTCATTCATTTTCTTGCTCTCTTGCGCCCCCGACGACCTCAGGACTTTCTACCGCTTTGAGGCGGCCTGGGACAGCTCCATGCACAACTCGCTGCTGCTGAACCGAGTCACTCCGTACGGGGAGAAGATCTACATGACCCTCTCGGCCTACTTGGAGGTACAGCACAGAACCCAGCGTTACAGCACACAAAGTGTCTCAGGTGATGTGTGAGTTACCCATGTGAGGAATCCCTCCTCTAACATTGCCTGCAGATGGAGAACTGCACGCAGCCCGCAATCATAACCAAAGATGTCTGCATGGTGTTTTACTCTCGAGACACAAAGCTCTCGGCCTCGCGCTCGATCCGAAACCTTTTTGGTACTGGGAGTCTCAGAGCGGCAGATGGGTGAGTTAAGGAACTTCAGACTTTGGAAAATGTGGCGCTCCTCCTGAGTTCTCGTTGTTGATAAAAAGCTCTCTCTTTCTTCTTGCAGAAACCGTGTCACTGGAGTCTATGAGGTCAGCCTGTGTAACCTGGCAGATGCAGGGAGCCCCGGTGAGAGTCAGGACAGAGTTGCCATTTACCGCGAGCCTTCCTCTGCAATATCTCTAACCCTGCACCCAACCACTGCAGGTATGCAGAGGAGACGCAGGCGAGTGCTGGACACCTCCGTGGCCTACGTCCGCGGGGAGGAGAACCTGGCCGGGTGGAGGCCCCGCAGTGACAGCCTCATTCTGGACCATCAATGGGAGCTGGAGAAACTCAGCCTCCTCCAAGATGTGAGGCCATGTAGTGGCTTACCTGTGGTTATGCTGCTGTTAACAGCCTCCACCATAACTGTAGCATCATTAAAGCCTGTGCTTTTCCAAGGTTTTTAGTAAATACAGATTTATTAAGGATAATAAAATATTATGATTTATGGTATTGAAGCAAACCAGCCAGGAATCGTTAATTTGACACATATCTTTAGGTTTTACATGGGACATGAGTGATTTAGATGTATTTTTTTCTCTCAGGTGGAGAAAACCAAGCATTACCTTCTCCTGAGGGAGAAACTGGAGTCCACCATGCTCATGGGTCAGGAGTCCCTGCAGTCCTGCATCACGGAGGAGCTCAGCGAGTGTCCTCAGCCCCCCGAGGTCGACCAGGAGGTCCCCTCCCGCTCTGAAATCACCACCGAGAGGCAGAGAGAGCTCGCTGCCAAGGTCAGCCCTCGCCAATGAACACTGAATTTCATGTTTGACCCGAGCGCAGTCTTACTTGTATTTTTTGCAGTTCCTGTTCTGATCTGTTAAGTCCGTGCTGAATATACCTCAATGCATACGCATTTTTGTCAAATCATCATTTAGTCAGAGAGCCTTTTTATGTGATTTGACTCAGCTTGTGTCTGACCTCAGGAGACATTTCAAGCGCTCTCTTTTTCAAATACAGTGTTTGCGTCTGCTCACTCACTCCTTCAACCGAGAATACAGCCACGTGTGCGTCAGCGCCAGCGAAAGCAAGGTAGTGGCCAAACACTCTGATTCAAACCTACACACGGAGTAAAGATGTGGTTGATGTCTGTTGATTGGTTCCTCACTGCATTCCTGTGTGTGTGCTGCAGATCTCCGAGATGTCCGTCACGATGCTAAGAGACTCCGCTTCAATCTCTGCTCTCAACACAATCACACCCTCCTCGACGTGCCCGTCGCTGGTTGAGGGTTGCTATGGGGACGCCGAGCTCAGGTCTGGATTAGCTACGTTTTGAGGGTTGCGGCCTGCGTGTCCCTCGTTTTTTCCCGCGATGACGATGATGCTCTCAGGACGGTTGTGTCCTCATCACTTTGGCTGCATACGGTTTGTTGCTCGCGCTCACAGACCTCCCCGTTTCTGTTCGGCAGACCCCCGATGCCCCGCTCCCGTGCCGCCAGCCCCGCCCCCGCCCCCCAGCAGGACACGGAGGCAAAGAAGTCCGCCGGCGGAGCCTCTGAAACCAAACCACGGATCCGCAGGTTTTTCCCTGACATCACGGAGATTAGAGTCAGGTGAGTCTGCCACAGTGACCCCCCCCCACCCCCCCATGATGCTGTGAAGACATCTTACTTGGTCTCACGCTGTGATCTCTTGTTTCCTCAGCCCTATTGTTTCAAAGAAGGGTTACTTGCATTTCTTGGAGCCGAACACCAACGGCTGGGTGAAGCGCTACGTGGTCGTGCGGCGGCCGTACGTCTACATCTACAACGCGGAGAGAGACTCTGTGGAGCGGGCGATCCTCAACCTCTCCTCCGCCCAGGTGGAGTACAGTGAGGACCAGCAGGCAATGCTGAAGGTTGGTGATGAACCAGGAACTCCGCCCGTCTGGCTAAAAGCATCACGTATGGTATAATAAGCGTTTTTATCTTTCTGGGCTCAACAGACCCCGTACACATTCGCCGTTTGTACCGAGCATCGCGGAATATTGCTACAAGCCACTAACGACAAGGAGATGCACGACTGGCTGTACGCGTTTAATCCCCTCCTGGCTGGAACTATCAGGTTAAAAAAAATACACGTCAACAGGTAAAAGCCAACACACAGGGCACACCTTTGATACAAAGCAACTGCTCTGCTCTGCCTCTCAGGTCGAAGCTGTCGAGAAGACGAGCCGGGCCGATGAGGATGTGAACATCCAGATGTGACGAGGGAAGGATGAACAGCAGATTGTACATAGATTCCTCTCCTTGTGCTGAGGCCCATCTCCCCCTCCCCCAAAACCTCCACCACAGTCACCAACAACCATCTCTTCCCCGTACCATCTCAGATCGTCACCAGTGTCCTCAGCACCTAAAGCGCCCATTTCATGCCAGGCCTTTGCTGCGCCGTGAGTCTCATAGTCAGAAAACCTCCGTCACTGTACTGTACCAGATCATTCAGAGCTGGTCGATCGAAGAAAGGTGGCGGAAGTAGCAACAGTTTCTTATCTCGGATCACATACGTATGGTAGTGTACTGTAGTTGTTGTCAGTGACACATCGAGCCTTATACATCTACTCCTCAAAAACAATGCAGTGGCATTTATTTCTACCTTTACCTAAAGTGGCGTCAGTGAGGATCACATTGCTCCATTTGAATCGTTAAAATAGAAAAAAAAACATGCAGATTGCTCTTAATTCTGCAGCTACATGTACAGTGTCTAAACTGGTTTGCGTACGACATCCTGCTACTAAGTACACCCTAAAAGAAAAGAAGAAAATGACAGTTGAGTGTAACTCTGTAGAATAATTCCCTTTTCTGCTACTTGGATCTTAAATCTTGTTTAGCACACAGCCTGGCGAGGGCGGGGCAGAGCATCATCGTTCTTGTGGCATTTTGATCAATCCACGTCGTTTTAGCTACTCTTAGGGCGCGTCTACATTCACACAATAAGTAATCACATGTCGTCACTATTAATCCTCCAAAGTTGATCTCATCCTCTACCTGAATTTTATTTGTTTTAAAATGTGATATATTTAGATATTTAACAGCTTTATTATTTATTTCCGCATGTATTTATTTACAAAGACATTTATATTTCTAAAGTAGTAGTACCGTGCAATTTCAGCACACCGCACTTTTTAATATGAGTTCCTTAAATGTTCTAAATGATACAGCTCTATCCCCGTGCAGTTAACCGGTTTATGATTGGCCCTTTTCTTTGTGCTGAAGATAACTTGAACGACACTATCCCCGATAGGATAGTCACACCTGACCTTTGACCCAACTAATATACACCTGGAAAGGTCACCAAATTCAGAAGTTGTTCTGAGCACCCTCAGCTGCACAAAGCTGTCTTGTTAAACGATCTAATAATGTGTATATCGATTAAATGTAGTGCCTCTCTTTTTTCAACCATGCTGTACAGTAAGCCTCTGCACCACCTGCTTTCAAACCGCATCCTTTATGCTGCAACATCACTGCTCACCATCACTTCATATTCAGACAAAAGAGGTATCATTTATGTCCCATATCTAACATGGCAGTCAGCCCATAACACAGCCGTGTTCTCTAAGTGGATACAGTAAAACCTACTTTCACGTATTTATTTGTGTTCATCAATAAATGTTGTTTCATGTTTCATCCCTTCACCACATCTCAGATCAGACGCGTGACTATGCATTTTCTAAGGCATTGCATTTGATTATGAATCTGATTTGAAACTCCTCGGACGGCTCGTGAGTTGTTGTGTGAAGATTGAAGAGCGAGCCTCGGGTCAGCCAGCCTAGAGCGCGTGCTCGCTAAGAGAAGTCACGTGACACCGGCTGCAGTAGGACGACAGCTCACAGCATCCAAAGCTCCAACGGCAAAGTTCACTTTAGCAGCAAAGCAGATGGTTTTATTTATTGCTGCTGAGGAAATCCATACAATACCATATTTTCTGAGGCTGGAAAGTATTCTGTGTGTTGGCTTATCCTAAAACCTTTTACAGCCCATGTGTGATGAACGTTTGACTCAAACTGTCAAATGTATGTGACGCGACTCAATAGAGTCTTGTGATCATCAAAGTCTGTCACAGACGTCCTTGGCAGAGCGTGCAGTCGTATCTGATCCAGGTATGGCATCATCTTCTCCGGAAGGCCGCTGTCTCATCCTTTGAACCCCAATTTTCCGATCCTCCAATCCAATCTCTGTGTCTAAATGAAACCCGGTGGGGTTTTTTGGGCCTTTTTAATGTGCGTCAGATATGATCCAACCAAAGTTTTCTTGCTGCAGTCACACAAAAAGAAACCACTCTGAATGTACGTTGATATTGGGCAAACAATCGCAAACTGCTGGACTGGTTATGTTGCCGTGTCTTTAGTGTTCACAGTCGTGCTCCTCATTGATTGTTGGGCAGGTTGTGCGATATACCTGTCGTGGGTCCACTGACGTGTGAGGGGAGCTCGGTTCACCGCGGCCACGTCCAGTACGGAGTAATGCCGTATGTAACCGCACTGTCTCACCCGTATTTGTCCAATATCCACCGTCACCATCATGCTCTGACAACCTTCACAAAATCTCCCTTTTCTATTCCCTCCCTTCACCTTTAAAGGAAAATAGCTCCAATCTTTGTGCTTCTAATCTTTTTTTTCTATTTTTCACAAGTTCATTTCTTATTTTTTCCCCGTCTTCAGACTTATTCGCATTGTATATGAACATGATTGCTGTGAACAGTGTATTATAAAGTTGCACCCATTTACAAAATCTTCAATGGGCAGTAGTTTCAGTGTCTGAGTGTTGAGAGTTTAGCGTCAACTGTTTGTGTGCACTAAACACATTGTCATGTATAAAATAAACATGGACATTATGCAACACAAAACCATCGCCTCGTCTTCTTTATTCATTAAATAAAGCATGAATAAACAGAACATGTGCCATGTCTGCATGGGAGATGTAACTTTGTCTTTATAGTTTTCAATACTATATGTAAACACTATTCTGCTTGACAAATTGTCCATAGCTCCGCAAAATGTTGTCAGCTTTTGTAAAGAATGACGAAAAAAACAGAGAGTCTAGTGGACTTTGTTACTACGCGATTTGCTTACGACTGCATATGATTTCTGTAATAAAACGGCACACATGTAAACGTCTGATGAAATTGTTGTCCATCACTGTGTGATCGCAGCTTTCCCTTTAAGGCGTCTGCGACCCGGACGAGAAGCGCTTCGTGCTCACGCGGCGCCAGCGAGCGAAACCAGTGTCCCGAGCGGGTGGATCCGTTCAGGACACCTTTAGGTGTCCCCACAAGGTTAGACCAGAGACACGAGCTCCAGCACTGGAGGGGGGGGGAATGTCCAGAGCCGTCTCCGAATAGCCGAGATCTCCGGTCACACGTGGCCAGCGTGCTCCTGCTATCGCACGTTAGCTAAGGCTAGCAGCGCGAGCTAGCTTCAGCTCGGGTCGACACACATTGTCTGGCGTTGTGTTAAAATGGCACTGGCTTGTTAGGGGACGTCCTATCACCCAGTCCATCGGACATGTCCCGGTGGGACAGCTTGTTGTAATGCAACGTTTAGCCGGTACAACGTTTCTGTTTGCCGCGAGCATCTTTGCTACCCGGAAGTCACCCGGTAAATAAGCGTCAACTGAATCAATTACGTCACCGTTAGCGGCTGGACAGCGGGGTAACGGGACACGAGTGGGTTACGTCATACAGATGTGCGATAACAATGGTCACATGTCCCCCTGCAGCCGTTCTCTAACTGACGGTGCAACCAGCTGTCAAAATAAACACCACCTCAACTCGTGTAACACTTGAGAAATATGAACAGATTAGAGCGTTTTTTCTGTTACGTGGTGTTTGAATTTGAAAAGAATATCACTGGTGATGGTTCCTGACTGGAATACATCCGATCTATGTTGTAATTCTTTCTAGGACCGTTATGGCCGAGCAATCTGACGACACCGCCTTCAGTGGCCGTTCCTTTCAACATTATTCAGAGATGAATCTGGACCGGTAGGAAGATTTGGTTTATTTTCTGCCATTCACTCTGAGTCATATTGAGTGGGATGAGATTGAGATTGATTTGACGACGAGGCTCTGGATGTTTGGTTAATGATTGCTATGAAGGCTTCGCCGACTACATGAAATGAGGTGAGAACGATGTGTCTCCGATGTCCATAATGTCATGTAGGATCTACATGGACTGCAACGCCACTACTCCACTGGAACCAGAAGTGATCCAGGCCATCTCTGAAGCCCTCCAGGACGCCTGGGGAAACCCAAGTAGCAATTATATAGCAGGTGTAGAATACTCCCATCCAAATGCCATTGACTTACTGTTGTTATGTGTGTGCGTATAATTTCCTCAAACATTTAATATTGCATCTTAGCGTTTAGCGACACAAAGGGGCTAAATCAACTTTATTTGTAGGCGCTAAGGCCAAGGCAACGATTAATCAGGCCAGAGAGAACGTGGCGAGAATGGTTGGAGGAAAAGCAGAAGACATCATTTTCACATCCGGTGGAACGGAGGTGTGTGGAATTTTTGCATTCGCTTTTGTTTTTCAAAAAACCCTTTTGCAGAATTGTGGTCCGCTGCATCCAGGGGTGGTTCATAGCAAACGCGTCTTGTTTCAGGCCAATAACCTGGTGCTGCACACTGCCTTGGAGCACTTCAGGACGAGCTGCAGGGCTGCAGAGCAACGCGAAGGACACCGGAATGGAAGCTCTGGCCTCCCTCATATAATCACCTCGAACGTGGAGCACGACTCGGTCAAACTGGTAGCTGAGCACCTACAGAAAGATGGCGAGGCAGGTAGGAGACGGTGCTTTTTTTTGTTTGAACAACTAACCCTCTTGATGTTTACTCGGGTCCTCGACTTGTTTGGGTAACTGTGCTTTTTGTCACAGATGTGACGTATGTGCCTGTGTCTAAGGGGACAGCCCGCGTGGAGGTGGAGGACATCATGGCTGCGGTGCGTCCCAACACTTGTCTCATCTCGGTCATGCTGGCCAACAATGAGACCGGAGTCATCATGGTGAGAAGGAGATAGAGGGTTCTTCTACTCGTCCGTATAGTACCGATAATAAAGAATTTCTACTTCAGTCATTGGAAAAGACAGAACGCTCCGTCGATATTAGCAGACATTTGCATTAGCTGATAAGTCCTAGCGTTTATCATATTTTGAAGATGATTTTAAATGGAATCGTATCTTAAAGACAGTCTCTGATGGGAATCTCCTTCGTCTCGTCAGCCGGTGCAGGAGATCTGCCAGAGAGTAAAGTCTCTCAACAAGCGGCCCGAGCGGCTCCGGATCCTCCTCCACACCGACGCCGCTCAGGCTCTGGGCAAAATCCGAGTGGACGCCTGTGAACTAGGAGTGGACTACCTCACCATAGTGGGACACAAGGTCAGGAACCAGTTGGATAAAAAAAAGAAAATTCAATTTGGCGTCACGGACATGGAAGAAAAAAGGTTATTAAAAGTTCCGCGGCGCCACCATTCCCAGTTCTACGCCCCTCGGATCGGCGCGTTGTTTGTGAACGGCCCGGGAAGAAGAACGCCGCTGTATCCCATGCTGTTCGGAGGAGGACAGGAGAGGAACTTCAGACCAGGGTACACATTGTCCTCTTTGAGGACGTCTCCATTGAGTCCCAAGTATGCATGAAACAGCTGCAAAGATCTAAATGTAACGGTCAATCGACCCTTTTTTGAATATTACAGCACAGAAAACACGCCAATGATTGCTGGTCTGGGAAAGGTATGTTCCCTATTCCCTAAACGTGTTACTGGAATATTTCTCTGAATACTATTTGACTGTATGGGAAGTTTTTTTATCTTTCTATGATGATTTATTGTGTGTCTATTAGGCTGCAGAGCTGGTGACCTCTAATCTGTCAGATTATGAGAGTCACATGCGAACTACCAAACTTTACCTGGAAGAAAGACTGAAGGTAAGTTTGATTCCGTTGATTCACATTCGCTGGTGTATGTCAATAGTCATGACAGCAGTTTCTGCAGTTATTGAGGTTGTCATCTGCGCAAAGGAGGGCGTGCGTTTGTGTGTTTTCCGTAATGTGCTTTCCTTTTTTAGGCCGTCTTCAACGGCAAGATCCGCTTCAACAGCCATTTCCCTGGCGCGGACATCCTGCCTAACACATGTAACGTGTCCATCCTGGGCCCGACATTACAAGGTGATGTCATCACTTCTTCCTTCCCCGGGCTACGTGTGCTTTGGCGTGTCGTTTAACCCTACACCAATGTTTGCGAGAGTCAGTTCATGACCTGCACAGGGCTCCGTGTAAGCCGCAAAGGCTTTGAATGATTAATCTCTCCCTCTCCTTCTTGCTCTCTCTCTCTCTCTCTCTCTCTCTCGCGCTCAATTTAGGATGGAGGGTATTGTCCAACTGTAGGAGGCTGTTGGCCAGCGTTGGCGCCGCCTGCCACTCAGACAGTGGAAACAGGTAAAAGAGCCCCTCTTTCACCCGTTACGCTTTTGGTCCGGATGCCACGTTGATGCCAATCCACCTAATCCCCCCCCCCCCTCCGCCGCCGCTGCACTGTGTCCATCCATCAGGCCGTCCCACGTCCTTCTGAGCTGTGGCGTCCCCCCGGAGGTGGCAGCTAACGCCTTGCGCCTGAGCGTTGGCAGGGCGACGACCAAAGCGGACGTGGATGCAGTTGTGGAGGACCTGAAGGAAACTGTGCAGCTGCTGGAAGAAATGAACTGAAAGGCCTTGATGTGCATTGACAGTCGTCCCGTAGGTCAGATACAGGTCAGGTGTATAGAATTGAGATGCACCGTGTTTAGTGTTTTTGTTACGTTCTCTGATCATGCAACAAATATGATATATAATGAATAAAAGGGAAGAGCTGCTGCTTCCATCAGGAGCCAATCAGCTAATTGGAGTCAGGGTTACATCAACGTGTTATAGAAATAAAACATATTAACACAACCTTTTGATATTTTGTCATGAATTCAAAGAGCTGTGAAATATAACATGTGGCCTATAATCGTTTGATCGGCCCCGCTGAGATGATTTTTTTAAAATGTTGGAAGAAATAACAGCGCGGTGCATTGGCTTCTCCCGTTACCGAGGTCGGTGGAGCGTCGGAGCGGGTGCCAGCTGACGGTCACCGGCGTACAAAGGAGCGCCTCCAACCGTCCGTCATTACCTTTCTATCCCCCCCCCCCCCAAAAAAAGGCCAGGCCGGCCATCTGGCTGCTTGCTCGGGTTCCACTTTCCTGGCACGTTTTCTTGCTGTCGGATGTGAGCGGGGGATGAGCGCTGTCCCGGCGGGGGGCCCAGAGAGCTGCGGGGAGCGGAGCGCGCGGCCATGGTGCTTCATCGGGCCATCGGGGCGGCGCGAGCGGGGGACCTCGGTGCCCTGCGGCAGCTGGCATCTTCCGGTCACCTCTCACCTGTGATCACCGACGCTCAAGGCGCGGGCCCGGTGCACCACGCGGCGAGGTGCGGACGCCTGGAGTGCCTGCGCGTGCTGGTGAGCGAGCTGGGGCTGGCGGCCGACCGCCGGGCCTCCAACGGGGCCACGCCGGCGCACGACGCCGCGGCCACGGGCCACATCCGGGAGCTGCGATGGCTGGTGGATTTTGGAGGCTGCAACGTTAATGTGAGTTTGTCCACCGTGTGATTCTTTAGAGGAGGGGGAGCAGTTGTAAAAAGGTCCCGTAGCCCACAGAACCTTTTTACAGATGTATTACCAGCTGATCGCATCATGTGGCTCTGCATCCATTACAATTACAGCCAGTGTAATTGGGTCCAGATGCTGAACTTCGCTATTGGAACGGAGTCCGGTCTGCTGATGTTTACATCTCGTCGCTTCTCAAGTCTCGTGAAGAACACACGTGACATAACATTGAATTTCAATGGCGGCGAAAATCGCAATCGCCGTTGAAACCTCTTGATATTGACACTGAGCCATCGCAGTGGGTGAGTCGCACATCAAGCCTCACCCCACTCCCATCCTTCCTCACGTTTCCAGGACAGGGATGCTGCGGGTTCGGCCGCCCTGCACCTCGCCGCCCGCTTCGGATGCGCGGAGGTCATCGAGTGGCTGCTCTCCGTCGGAGGAGAGGCCGAGGCGGAGACGGACTCCGGGGCCGTGCCGGCTCACTACGCCGCGGCCAACGGAGGCCTCACCTGCCTGAAGCTACTCGTTGAACAGGCACCTGGGTGAGGTCATAGACGCCTCTCCTTCTTTCCTACAAAGGTCCATCAGAAAACAGAAGGAATGAGCTCAGCGTTTATGAGATGAATGTGGAGGAGGAGCTAATGTGCAGTCAGCCAATCATTACCTGATGCATGAATACACCAAAGATCAGCATCACACTTATGGTCACCTGATCGTTATCCTTCTTCCTCCTCTTTTTTTCACCTTGCCACAATCTTTGCACGTCACCGTGGTAACGGCAGAAGTGCTCCCTGTGGTACACCTGGTGGGGACCACTGGCTTAGAGGACCTAATCATGCACACTCAGATTAAAGCAGGTGTCACATCACAAGGACAACAACAACTAAACAAAAGAGACCACGTGAAACATGTCGCCCGATATTGATCTCGTCTCTTCTCCATCTCGTAAACCCAGTGTCTCAGACCGTGTCTCCCTCCAGAACCACCACATGTAACCATCAGTCCCCGTTGAATGATACTTGCCTGGACAGCGCTGGTCGCGTGGCAGCCCCGCGGGTGTGGAAGGACCGTATGTATGTATGTACGCTGTAAAAGCAGCTCTGCCGCGTTGACTTATCCTGGTTTCAACCGTCACTGCCCAAATATCAATAAAGTCTGTTCAAATCACAGCAGGCAGCCACGGATCAGAGCGTTTAACAGTAGGCCCGTCAAATGTGGTTGTCCGTCACATCGGCGTGTTCTCTCCACTACATATCTAACTGGTGTGTTGCATCTGGAGCTTGGATGTGTGCGAGACATTTTGTCACCGATGCTTAACCCCCGTTTGTTGATCCATGTCGGCACACAGCTGTGTGGACCGCCAGACGGTCACCGGCGCCACCCCGCTCTACCTGGCCTGCCAGGAGGGGCACTTGCACGTTGCGCAGCACCTCGTGGACAACTGCGGCGCCGACGTCCACCTGAAGGCCAACGACGGCATGACCTGCCTGCACGCCGCCGCTCACATGGGCCGCCAAGCTGTCGTGGCGTGGCTGGTGAGTCGAGGGGCGCCACGAGCGCACGAGACATGTCTTTGTTTCACTGTGTAACCTTCCTCGCCGGACCTCAACAGGTGACCTGCACCGATGTCAGCCTGTCCGGCCGGGACAGGGACGGAGCCACGGCTCTGCACTTTGCTGCCAGCAGAGGGCATCGTTGCATTCTGGAGAGGCTGCTACGCATGGGTTTAAAGGTCGTGGAGGATTACTGGGGAGGGACCCCCCTTCATGATGCTGCAGAGAATGGAGAGTTGGAGGTTGGTCGGGTCTCCTTCTTTTTAGTTTTCACAAGTTGTTCTCATAGTTTTAGTCTGATCTTATCTATATAAATTCAACTTTTCTGTTTCTTCTTACGCTTTCAGTGCTGTAAAATCCTGTTGGCCAACCAGGCGAACCCTTCAGATCCTGATGTTGATGGGTTCACCGCAGCAGACCTGGCGGAGTACAACGGACACCATGAATGTGCCAGATATCTCTGTGCCATGCAGACGAACGTACGTCCCCTCACCTTCTCTACTCCTAGAAGCATCTTGGTGTGCGCAGTAATTACAAGGCCTGCAGCATGGTCTGCAAAAGGTGGTACATGGGACCGTAGAAACAGTGTCTGATAGAGCATGATGATCAAATATTACATCCACAGATTATGTAGTCCAGTTGGTTTATGTCGCTAATTGGTGTAACTGGATCTCATCATTTTTAAACCTCACGATGTAAACAATATTGTTTGTGAGTGGATACTCACAAAATACATAAAATTCGTCTCCGGCGCCCTCGTCCTGCACTCAGCCTGAGAGAACCTCGGGAGTGGAGGACGACGGCTTTTGTGTCCTTAATGAGGCGTTCATGGTGCCGTGAGGGCCGGAGGAGATTCGTGCCTCTCAGCTTGCCACGGAGGACACTCTGAGACAGGCTCTTTTGTTGGGCGCAGAAAGCTCGACACCCCTCAATGTGGCTGATGAATATTCTAGCGTTACCCCTTTGATTGTGCTCGCCGAGGCGTGTTCAAATCAAGGGGTCAGCGCAGTTAAAAACCGGCCTGCGTGTAACTGGAAACTACGAGTCGCGCTGCCGTGTGAAACCTCTTTATAGCTTAAGCAGCAATAATCAGGTGTAGTGGAGGACAGTTGGTGCGGACATTTTAACTGTTTGTTTTTAAGATGGGACAGAGGTCAGCTGAGAGACAACAGGGCCCGTTGGACCTGAAAGCGCCGCGGCCTGTCCTGGTTTCTCCCCGCCGCCCTAAAGCGAGAACGACACCGCGATGTACGCGGGGAGTAACGAAAGCTGTCCGTGCAAGAGAAGCCATTAATAAGTCAGCGGAGAAGAGCCGCGCTCGTACACGAAGAGGGCGACGGTGGGGAGGCGGCTTGAGACGCGCCCGCTCGGCTCCCCCATCAAAGATAATCCTCCCTCCAACAATGCGGAGCTAATTAGCACGGGGGCCGCGCGGCGACGCCGGGACGCGGCCCGGGGCCGCCGCCAACTGAGGGCCTATCGGTTACCCCTCTCCTGCGGCTCAGGTGGAGGGCCCGGGGGCCGAGGCCGTTACGAGATCCACGAGCTTAAGTTTCAGCGTTTTCACCATTCTGATGCCGGGAACCGGAGAGCAGGATGTCACAGGCTTCAAACACGCCTTTGATTGTGTGTCATGTTTATTTATTTTTTCCAGTGACTTGGATGTGCTGTTTATTGTCACCTCTGGATGATGTGAGGTGATGCTAGCAGACAGAATGATGGCTCAGGTTTCTTGGCACACAGGTGTGCACGGAGAGGTCATCCGACGGAGAACCTGAAACGACAGTTGATGGATTTTAAATCCTCTGAATGTTTGGATGGGAGACTAGGTCACGGTTTGAAACCCCACAGAGCCGTACATGTAGGCCTGCTTTAACTATATTTGTGGTTGGGTTTTCGGATCGGCCGTTTCAAACCCGTGCTAACGGGTCGGACAGGTCATCCGACCTCCGAGCAGCGACCCAGATGGGATTGGGACATCGACTTAGAGCTGCGTTATGAGCCTCTCACAACGAGGTCGGGGGTCACACTTCCTCCTCTCGCATCTCAGGAGCAGCTGCAATCAAATAAACAGCGTGCGGAGGGAGAATTACTTCACACACACACACACACACACACAAACGTTAACAGCGATCCGGCCCAAGATGCTTTCGTTTGAGGGTGGTATTTTTAGAACACTTGGACCGAGGAAACATATCGTCGTGTAATTCATCACTGTGTTTTGTTCTTTTAATGAGAAAGAAATGTGCTTTCGTGACTGTTATTTGTATTAATGATACAATATATAATCAACATAATTACAAAAAATAATAACCTCCCGAGGCCGCCCATCCTCTTCCAGGTCTGCCGATCTGTCTCAATCTCATGGAGCCCCCTGCATCACATTTACATGTGTGACACAGATGGGAGAGATTTCGCTGAACTATAAAACTATATCCAGTGTTCAGTTACACAGTCTGTATATATTATTTAACTTTCAAAGTACGGAATGCAAAGCTGAATAGCTGAATAGTTGATGGATAAAAGGAAAAGGCATAAGGGTCTCCAAACAAATTTGCTTTCATTTTACTTTTACACATGCAGTATCATTTTTAGCCACTTGAGGGAGCCTAAATGTGCTTATTGTTGCCTTACGCATTGTACACTGAACCTACCAAACATTATATTTGTTTCTACCAAAATGCATTTACTGGTTGTTATTTCTAAAGTGTGGCTACGTTTTCAATAACACATGCATGAAACAAAGATTC